AGAACCGAGCCCGGTGTTCGAGGCTACCCACCATGCTCATCGTCGCTGCTCGAGCCTGAACTTCCTTCTTCCCAGCAGCTGGCAGCGCTGGGTCCATTACCGGACAGACTCTTCCCGCCGGGGTTCGCCGCTGCCCCGGGACCGGTGCCGGTGCCGGTGCCGCTGCCCCCCGCCGGGGTTCTGCCTCTCCGCTTCCCCGGAACCTCCGGGTTTCTCTCCAGCATCGCCGGCATGAGGAGGACGGAGACGGCAGGGGTTCGAGGCTAGATGCTAACTCTCCTAATACTTAGCTAGTTAGCTTAGCTTCCCCCACGGACTGAACCGAACCGGCTGACTGGTCCTGAAGCCCAACTAACAGTTCGGTCCCGATGGCGGAGGCCCGGTTCGGTCTGAAAGACGAACTCAGAGGAGGTAAAAAACCCGAGAACCGAAGCTAACCGAGGCTAACCGAGCTCCACCGGAGAGATGCTAACAGTTATCCCGGGACCAGAGCTTCAAAAAGTTCCACAACAAGAACCCGGAACCAGAACGGACCAGATGAAACCGGACCAGGACCGACAGGGAGACCCTTAGCCCCTGAGATCAGAGATATCGATCAAAACCTGAAGGAAACTGATCAGAGATCAGCCAGACTGAAGCTGATCGATCACAGGGGAGGAGTGTGTGTGTGTGTGTCCGCGTGCGTGTGCGTGCGTGTGTGTGTGTGGCCTCTCCTGTCGTTACACGTAACACATTCAAAGATCAGAAAGTCACTTATTCTAATATCAGACAGTTTTACTCTTAAATAATTTTATTAAAGTCAGTTTTGGTCAAATCAGCATCTTCACCAACTCTGAGTGAACAGAGAAAGAAAATAAAAACCTAAAAACTTTGGATCATGATCTCGTGCAGGATCAGACCTGTCATCATTTCATATCACATGTTATTGAACCTCCTCACGTCTTTAACCTTAAAACTTTAAATCCCAGAACATCCTGAATATATGTCCTCTCAGGTCTTTTATTTCAATTTTTATATTGTTTTAATAAATTAATTATATCCTAACACTTCAGAGTGACGTCAGAGGTAATAAACACTCCAGAGTGATGTCACAGGTGATTAACATTCCAGAGTGATGTCATAGGTAGTGCACACTTTAGGGTGATGTCATAGGTAGTGCACACTCTACAGTGATGTCATACATAATAAACACTCCAGAGTGATGTCCCTGGTAGTGCACACTCCAGAGTGATGTCATAGGTAGTGCACACTTCAGAGTGATGTCACAGGTAGTGCACACTCCAGAGTGATGTCATAGGTAGTGCACACTCCAGAGTGATGTCATAGGTAGTGCACACTTCAGAGTGATGTCATAGGTGATTAACACTCCAGAGTGATGTCACAGGTAGTGCACACTTCAGAGTGATGTGGGAGTATAAGATCATACCCTCTGATGTCAGACTGCACAGACACTTCATTGTTTTCTTCATACTCACCAACAGTTGTGTGATTTTGGGGTTCGCTCACATTTTGTCAGGATATTTTGTTATTAGTGATTCATGTTGTGTAGCGGTCCATCTGTGACACTGATCATCAGGAGTTTAACAACACTTCCCTCTGAACGGTCATGAGGATTGAATAAGTTATTTTTAAAACCACATCTGTCTTTATAACTGTCTCTTTGATCGTGTAAATGAATTATTTATGGTCACTGAGACGATCTGAAGGTCTGATCTTCATCCTCTGGACTTTCTCAAGAAAAACTCAATAATTTTGAAGATGTTGATGTATTTTTACATATTGATCTAAAAACTGTGACAGGATTGGTTGATTTCTTGGTGTGTGTTTACAATTGAGGACCAGCAGGAGGCGCTCCTGTCCAGTGTTTTGTGTTGGGACACCTGATCAGCTGATTTCTATGAACACAGGTGCAGGTACATGTTACCTTCAGCAGCAGAAGAACAGATCTTCTGTTTTTGGTCAAAGTCCTGACCCCTCAGTCCTGGTAGACCTGGACCTTCTCAACACGAGGACTCTGTTAACCGACGACAGGAAAACCTTCAAACTGTCAGAGTCACCGAATCTTCAAAACAGAGCAGGACCGAGTCATGTGACCGCTGACGGAGAACATCGAAGAAAACGAGGAGAAGAATCTGAGAACGGATTAATCAGCTGATCAGAGAGAGAGAGAGAGAGAGAGAGAGAGAGAGAGAGAGAGAGAGAGAGAGAGAGAGAGAGAGAGAGAGAGCATGTGTGTGTGTTTGTTTTTAACAGCTGACTGTAAACATATCAGTGTCCCATACACTCCAACACACAAACACACACAAACACACACTCACACACACACACACACACACAAACACACACACTCACACACACACACAGATACACACACACACACACACACACTCACACACACCTGTGTAGAGTCAGTGTGTGAGTCTGAAGTCTGATCTCGTCAATAACCCGATCAATGGTCTGGAGCGTCTGCTCTTTATTACATAAACCTCCTCAGTCGCTCCGAGGAGGTCGCTATGTTCAGAATGTCCGACACTCGATCCGGCGACCCGGCCCCCAAACAAACATCCACACATGGAGCTGAAGTGGCGGGAGAACTGCGAGGGGCCGGGGGGGCGGGGAGGCTATAAAAGTCTGGAGGAGCTGAGGTCGGAGGTTTGACGGAGAGTCAGTTTGAGACTCGGCAGACTGAACCAGGATCAGGATCAGGATCAGGATCAGAGCGTTTAGACAGTCTAAAGAGGGTCAGGTGGACTTCAGACAGTTTCAGACCTCCAGGTGTGTCTCAGACCTCATCATGCCGTGGGTTCTGTCCTCTCAGTTGGATCACCTGTCCACGTCTCCGTCGCAGCGTCAGTGCGAGGAGACGGCGTTCTCGTTTTACTGCGCCGTGCGGGAGCAGCTGCCGGTCTGGCTCCTGGAGGACATGAGGACCATGGAGGTCTTCTGCTGGGAGGACGGACAACCACAACCCTTCAGGCCCTCCAAGGCCCTGATCTACGCCCTCGTACACGACCATCAGGACTATGCACGCTACCTGCTCAAGAGGTACTCAGTGAGCGCGCTCAGAGCGTCACGCTGCAGTTTCTGTTGCTGCCGCAGCTACGACGCGCCGCACCTGTCAGTGGCGGTTCGCTACAACCGCGTGACGATCCTCAGGATGATCATGGAGGCCGTGAAGGGCTGCGAGATCCAGAGCGAATGGGAGGACTACCTGGACAGGTGCGGCGGCTGCTCACACGTGGCGGACTCGGGAAAAACGGCGGTGCAGCTGGCGGTGGAGCTGTCGAGACCCGACTGTCTGCTGCTGCTGCTGGTTCACGGGGCGCAGGCTGACGGCCTGGACATGGCGCTGCAGCGACTCGTTTCCTGTGACCCCACAGAGCGCCGCCACGCTCAGCGCTGCCTCGACTTCCTGCTGCTCTTCCTGCCCAAACCGCTGGCGTTGCACCGTCTGCAGGACGAGCCGAAGCACTGGCAAAGCCTGCTGGGAAACGAAATCTTCAGCTGGCTGTGCGGTCTGGCTCCGCCCCCTTTGCTGTTGCAGGTGCTCAGGTGTTTGGCTCGATCTGGACCGGATCAGATCACCGCCCTGCCCCACTTCCTGCAGCCGCACTGCTGGCAGTGACATCATCTGTCACCATGGCAACACACTGTAAATACCTCAGGAGGACTGCTGATTGGACAGTTGATGAAAATGTAAATAAAAACACACCCAATCAGCTGATCAGCAGTCCGTCAGACAGAGGACAGATAAAGGACAGGCTTTAGGACCCTGAGGAGGAGACCCTGAGGAGGAGACCCTGAGGAGGAGACCCTGAGGAGGAGACCCTGAGGAGGAGACCCTGAGGAGGAGACCCTGAGGAGGAGACCCAGAGGAGGAGACCCTAAGCGGTCTGAGCGTCTCTGCAGACGAAGGATCAGCTGTGAAGTTTGACTCTGAATGTTTGAACGTTTCTACCTCTGAGAGCACACACACACGCACGCACGCACGCACGCACGCACGCACGCACGCACGCACGCACGCACGCACGCACGCACGCACACACACACACACAGCAGCTTATTTGGTGAGACATTATATATCTGAACCTGATTTATTGATCATATTGATCGCGCTCAGCTGTGTGGAGGAGCTCTTGGACTTTTCTCTAAAGTTGATTTAAATCTTGTTTTTGTTTTTCTCTCTGAAGTCTGTTCAGTTTTCGAGCAGCTCTGCTCTTTATTCAGGATCTCTGTATATTTGATGTCAGCTCTGTGAAGATAATTATAATAATTATTATTATAATTATAATCTGTAAATAAAGATTTCTGTGAAACCTTCAGCCTGTTCGTCTTTTTCAGCCCTGAGTTTTGACTGCAGGACTCAGGCGTCTCTTTCTGGTTTTCAAACATGTGAACTTTGTTTGATGCAGAAAAACTCCACTGAGCATGTGCAGAACAACCGGGTCTGAAAACAGATCCGGTTTCTCTTGGAGGGAAATTCTTTTGAAAGCGAGGAGACGCCATCCGGGAGTCGGACATCAGCTCCGATTACGCCTGACAGACGGCGCTCAGGGCGGAAACACTCTCAGTGTATTAGCAGGTTTATTCAGTTAGTGTTCAGTTACACAGCTAAGGTCACACTGAATCTTATTGGTCAGCAGGAGAACAATCAACCAATCAGCTGGAGGCAGGATGACATCACCACAGGGTCACACCTGCTCAGGTTTCATGAGAAAAAGACAAAGATTTTACGCTTTCATACACATCGACTATAGAGACCCCAGACCCCAGACCCCCAGACCCAGGCCTCTGTGCAGGTCTACAGTCCACCACAGTCCTTCGGAGTCCCCCAGAGTCCAGGTTTTGTTAAGGATCAGGTCAATAATCTGAATTTTCAAACAAACACAAACAGGATTTCATCAAATTTACATTTTTTCAGAGAGCGATCCGAGTGGGCGGGGCTTCTGTGTGTTGCCTTGGCAACAGTGAGACTGACATTCAAGGTGTCACCACATGACAATCAGCAACAACTGATCCAGTTCAGTGTGACCCGTTTCAGTCTGATATGGATCAGACTGATCCGGTCCAGTTTTCAGCAGCACCCACTCTGAGTGACGCTGACCGATCGTCAATAATCTGTTTGATTGATTAATCCGGACTCCTGTAAACAGAACTAAACAAACCCGTTAGAGTCCTGAAGGTTCACTAACATCAGTAAGTGGTTCTGATCCGGAGAGTTCAGACCCTTCATGGGAGAAAAACTGTTTTTTTAAAGTAAAAATTCTTTTATTTTTTAAGCAGTTTTTAAACTTTTGTCTGTAAATCTAAAACTTTTTTTTCTGCTGGAGTTTTGACTTTTTCACATTTCAGACTTTTGATGGAAATTTAGTAAATTTTTAGGATTTACTGTCAGTCAGATTAAGACAAATTCTTGTAATTTAAGATAATTTCAAAGTTAATTTGGGACTTAATTTATGTGAATTAAAGACATTTTAACATTTCAAATTTGGACTTTTTGTAAATTTAGGATTTTTTATTTGTAAATGTAGTTTTTCTCGTAAATGTGGGACTTCATGCTTTAAAATGTGTAACTTTAATGTTATAAAGTTGACTTAATTCCTGATTATTTTAATTTATTTCCTTTTTCCACTTGTTGTTATTTAGACTCACAGCTTGTTAGATTACAACTCCATTTTTAAACATTTTAATTGATCGTTTCTGACTTAAAGTCATTGTTTCTTCTCACAAGTTTTTAACTTTTATCTCACGAATTCTCGACTTTTTTCTTGTAAAATAAAAAAGTTTTTTTTTGTAAGATTATAAATTTGTTCCTGAAATCTCCGAAGTCTTTTCTTCAGTCCTGATGTGACTCTGATCCACTAAAACCAGAATAAACTTTCCCTTTTAGATCCGAGGTTTGATCCAGATTAACACAGACTTCAAAAAGTGACCCGTTCAGAACCAGTTTGAAATTAACCAAACTGGTTTGATCTGGTCTGGACCAGACTGATAAAGTGAGTGAAATGTCCCTTTAAAGCCCCCAAATAAAACACGGCTGAACAGAAAACTGTTCATCTTCAAACGTCCCTTTAACGTCCTCCTACAGTAGATTAATATGACCCATTTAGAACCGGTCAGTACCCGTTAGAACCAGTCAGAACCACTGTTAGAACTGCTTAGACCCACACTGACCCGACAGCCACAGATTAATAAACACATTTGAAACCAGTTAGTGACCTTACTGGTCCAAACTGGGCCTACAGAAAAATGAGTATTCTCAAAAACCAGTTCGTTCTGGTTTGATCCAGTCAGATCCAGTATAAACCGGTTTAAACTGGGGTAAGTGTAAGTAGTCATGGAGCCCGTCTGAGGCGGTTCCAGTCTTTTTAAACCGGGTTGATCCGGGACAGAGGAGCAGCTCTAGAACCAGTCAGAACCCAGAACCGGTTTGGTCTACTCAGAACCGGTCAGAACCGGTTGTCCTGTAGTCCAGTGTCCTTCAGAGGTTAAAGTGCTTCCTATTAAAACAAAAAGTTTCAGTTTACTTCATTTCCCAGCAGCCTTTGTGTCACTGCGACATCACAGCGTTGCACCCCACGAATCCAACATCGTAGTGACATCAAAGTGACATCACAGCTTAGATCAGCTCCCACTCGTCCTCCACGTCGTCCACGCTGAGGGAGGGGCCTGAGGGGGCGGGTCTACATGGAGCCTGGGGGAGGAGCTTGGTCAGGCGACGGGACAATCCACCAATCGGAGTCACCGCCCACAACTCGTCCTCAGGTGTCACTGAAGAGAGAGAGAGAGAGCACACCTGTGATTCTGGACCTGTTCTGGACCAGGAGGAACCACCTGCACAGGTAACCCAGTCTGACCAGTATGGACCCAGTCTGACCTGTAAACCAGTTCGCACTCCCGGGGATTTTCTTCCAGTAATCTCCAGCGGGGTTCCTGTCGGAGACGCCGTATCGCCGCGCCAGATCGCCGTTTACGCACCGAACCCAGACTGTCCGAGAACTCAAGACCAGCTGACTGACGGCCAGGCCTGAGGGACACACAAATACACAACTTAGTACACACCATGATACACAGAATAGACAGGTGTACAGCTGTGTGTACAGGTGTGTGTACAGGTGTGTACAGGTGTGTGTATAGGTGTGTGTACAGGTGTGTGTACAGGTGTGTGTTTAGGTGTGTGTACAGGTGTGTGTTTAGGTGTGTGTACAGGTGTGTGTACAGGTGTGTGTTTAGGTGTGTGTACAGGTGTGTGTACAGGTGTGTGTACAGGTGTGTGTTTAGGTGTGTGTATAGGTGTGTGTACAGGTGTGTGTACAGGTGTGTATATAGGTGTGTGTACAGGTGTGTGTACAGGTGTGTGTATAGGTGTGTGTACAGGTGTGTGTACAGGTGTGTATATAGGTGTGTGTACAGGTGTGTGTATAGGTGTGTGTACAGGTGTGTGTACCTGGTACCAGCTCCCAGTCCGTCCCCACCGGCATCTCGTCGCTCAGTCCCGTCCTGACGAAGACACTCCCTCTGTTGTCGAGCGCCCAGAGGAGACGATCGTTTGGACTGGTCTGGATGCTGACCAGCTGCACTCCTATTGGCTGCAGAGACATGATGTCACTATTACCTGGACTGTGCGCACACACACACACACACACACACTTACAGGTTCCGTGTCTCTTACCTGTGCAGGTGGGTCTATCTGGATCCACGCGGGCAGCATCATGCTCGGGTTCAGGGCCTGAGTCCCGACCCTGAAGTAGACGACCCCCCGACTGTCCACGGCCCAGACGTTCTGACTGCCGCAGCTCACACTGACCAGACGCACGCCGCCTGCAACAACACACAGGTGACACCTGAGCACACCTGACTCCTCCTCCTCATGGAGCGCTGACCTCAGGAGGGGGAGGGGCTCGACCTCAGACCGTCCTGATGGACGAGTCGTCGGGTCACAACAAAAACAGGACCGGGTCTCAGGTGGAACGTGACCACGGGATCATGTGACCACATCCGGTTTCAGAGCAGATTCCAGGTCAGCCTGTTTCTACGGAAACGACCTCATACTTCATATGACTGACAGACTGTCCTGATGACCTCTGACCTTCCAAGGCCTCATGAAGAGCTGCTGCAGCTGTCCGTCATCTTTGACCCGCAAGATCCACGCAAGATTAGAGTGTGTGTTTTTGTCATGATGGTGTGTATTATATTGTGTATTTTTGTTTATTATGTTGTGTATAATAGTGTGTATCATGTTGTGTATTTTTGTGTATACGTTTGTGTATTTTTGTGTATATGTTGTGTATTTTTTATGTTTTGTATTTAATGTATATGATAGTGTGTATCATGTTGTGTATTTTTGTGTATGAGAGTGTGTATGATGGTGTGTACTATGTTGTGTAATACTTTGTGTTTGATAGTGAGTATTATGTTGTGTATTAGTGTGTATTTTTGTGTGTAACATTGTGTACTATGTTGTGTTTTTTTGTGTATCATGTTGTGTATTAGATTGTGTATGATGGTGCAGACGACAGAACCATGGTCCACGGTTTTATCAATCATAAGACTTAATCAATCAATCAATGAAACCTCCGGACCGTTCTTCAGGTTTGATTACTCCTGCCTGTCCAACCCAGAAAACCAGAACCAGAACCGTGTGGAGGAGCTTCAGAGACTCACAGAGTCCGGCGTTAGGGGGACAGACGGTCATGCGGTCTGATAACGAGAAGGGCAGAGGGACTAAAAACAGATCTGACCCACCAGTCAGGTTACAGTGTGACGCACACACACACACACACACACACACACACACACACACACACACACACACACACACACACTCTCTTCATGTTGACCTGTTACACAACCTCCACCTGTCAGTGTGATGAAGAAACACAGCTGACCGAGTCTGTGTGTGTGTGTGTGTGTGTGTGTGTGTGTGTGTACGTGAGTGACACCCACCAAAACACACACACACACACACACTGACTTTACGACCAATCAGGGAGCAGGAATCTGAGCAGAGACTCCAAAACAAACAGAAGTTATTAAAGGGGAGGAGCCTTTAAAATCTGACCGATCAATAATCGGTTCTGATTCTGACAGATCATCAGTGATTGGTTCTGATGTCTGCGGCTGCGCTCTAAGGTTTCCCCTCGACCCGCCGACTCTGAGTGTCCAGGGTCTCAGGGTCTCAGGGTCTCAGGTACCTACCGAGCTGACTGAGGTCCAGGGGGGTCCAGTGAAGTCCAGCAGGACAGGACGGGGACAGAGTCCGGATACAGACTCTGCCGTGAGTGTCCAGACCCCACAGAGCGTCCCGACAGGCCGACAGGTGGGTCAGCTCCACCTGAGCGCACAGGTAGATGAGAGTGTGACATCACTATGGGGGTCAGAGAGAGGGTCAAAGTCAGGGGACTTCAGGGGGTCTTACCTCAGGCGGGAGGGGGACGGAGGAGGGGCGGAGCTCGCCGTCCTGGTCCCAAACACAGAAGAGATCCTTCCTGCTCTGAGCCAACCACAGGAAGGTACCTGCAGACATGTGACCGTCAGGGCGGGACTATTACAGGACCGGGTTTAGGACTGGTTAAAGAGGACTGGGGACTTGTTGGACAGGCGTTACCTTCTCTGTGAGGGACAGCTGAAGACGTGATGAAGGTCCACCTGGTGGCCGACACCGTTCCTCTGGGAACCACGTTCTGCCAGAAAGTTCCTGTAAGAACCAAAAACAGACAACAGCTGGGGGGTCAACAACAGGAGACCTGAACTCTGAAGGACTCTGAAGGACTCTGAAGGACTCTGAAGGACTCTACTGACCCACAAGGCTGCCGCGGGCCAGGTGCAGCTGGTTCCGTCCCGAGGCGACCCAGACCCCACTAGCGTTGGCGCTGACCAGGCTGGGCTGGCACTGTGAGTACTGGGACAGGAAGGCCACCACCCGCTCCACTGGCGCCCTGGTAACCGTGGCAACACTCTGAGTGGCCTGCAGCAGGGTCTGGAACAGACTTCCCTGATCGAAGACCACGTAGTCCGAGATACTGATCTGATGGAGACAGAGACGGACGGTCTGTAGACCTGCTGAAATGAACCCACGTCGGACCAGGACCGGCTGTAGACCCGCCTACCTGCCACCAGTGGTCGTCCTCGCCCTGAGGTCTGGACGAGCAGATCCCCGTCCGGAACCAGAGGCTGCCGCTGGCATCCAGCGCCCAGGCGGTACCCCCGTCACCCAGAGCAACACACATCAACTCCAGACCCTGAGCCTCACTGTGACACACACACACACACACGCACGCACGCACGCACCACACACACACACGCACACACACACACACACGCACACACACACACAGAAACGAAGAATTAGAAATCATAGATGCTGCATCATCAGTTTCAAATACCGTATTTTTTGGACTATAAGACAAACTTCAAATCCTTCAATATTCTCTAAAATCAACAGCACGCCTTATTGATTATTACTTCTTATTACTGACCGATCTAAAGATGTTCAATGAGCTCAAAAATCTGTCGAAATTTGTAACACAGGATTTCCACCACATCTGGAATGGCGACGTACTTCGCCGTCTGCCAATTCCTGCCAGATCCGTTTGTGAGGCAAATTTCATGGCGGATTATGAACAGCGGGAATCACGAGAACTGGCAAGAACCCGCAGATTCAAGTTCAATCGCACAGCTGTTTAACTCCGATACTGAAGACGAAGAATTCGATGGATTTGAGGAAGAAGAATGAATCAATAAGTGATCGTATTTTTCTGTACCAGTATTTGTTTTTACAACTGAGTTTAATAAAGTTTGATTTACCGGACTGTGTTGTTTTTGTTGTTTTGCTTAATGCGCCTTACAATCTGATGTGCCTTCTGTATGTGCTTACTGAACGATTTTATGTTGTACAATGCGCTCAATAATCTGTCAAAATGTGTAAGTACGACTTCGGTAAGCAACGAAGCCGCTACGATCCTTCAAATCCCTCTCTGACTGCTGCTCTCCCTCCCTCGTTTGTGACAGTCGAGTCTGCATCATGTAGTAGTGTTGTAGTAGTAGTAGTAGTAGTAGTAGTAGTAGTAGTAGTGTTGTAGTAGTAGTAGTAGTAGTAGTAGTAGTGTTGTAGTAGTAGTAGTAGTAGTAGTAGTAGTAGTAGTTGTAGTAGTAGTAGTAGTAGTAGTAGTAGTAGTAGTAGTAGTAGTGTTGTAGTAGTAGTAGTAGTAGTAGTAGTAGTAGTGTTGTTGTAGTAGTAGTAGTAGTAGTAGTAGTGTTGTAGTAGTAGTAGTAGTAGTAGTAGTGTTGTAGTAGTAGTAGTAGTAGTAGTAGTAGTAGTAGTGTTGTAGTAGTAGTGTTGTAGTAGTAGTAGTAGTAGTAGTAGTAGTAGTAGTAGTAGTGTTGTAGTAGTAGTAGTAGTAGTAGTAGTGTTGTAGTAGTAGTAGTAGTAGTAGTAGTAGTAGTAGTGTTGTAGTAGTAGTAGTAGTAGTAGTGTTGTAGTAGTAGTAGTAGTAGTAGTAGTAGTAGTAGTAGTAGCAGTGTTGTAGTAGCAGCAGCAGCAGCAGCAGCAGCAGTGTTGTAGCAGCAGCAGCAGCAGCAGCAGCAGCAGCAGCAGCAGCAGTGTTGCAGCAGCAGCAGCAGCAGCAGCAGCAGCAGTAGTGTTGCAGCAGCAGCAGCAGCAGCAGCAGCAGTGTTGCAGCAGCAGCAGCAGCAGCAGCAGCAGCAGTGTGTTGCAGCAGCAGCAGCAGCAGCAGTGTGTTGCAGCAGCAGCAGCAGCAGCAGTAGTGTTGCAGCAGCAGCAGCAGCAGCAGCAGCAGCAGCAGCAGCAGTGTTGCAGCAGCAGTGTTGCAGCAGCAGCAGCAGCAGCAGCAGCAGCAGCAGCAGCAGTGTTGCAGCAGCAGCAGCAGCAGCAGCAGTGTTGCAGTAGTAGCAGCAGCAGCAGCAGCAGTAGTAGTGTTGTAGTAGTAGTAGTAGTAGTAGTGTTGTAGTAGTAGTAGTAGTAGTAGTAGTAGTAGTACTAGTGTTGTAGTAGTAGTAGTAGTAGTAGTAGTGTTGTAGTAGTAGTAGTAGTAGTAGTAGTAGTAGTAGTAGTAGTGTTGTAGTAGTAGTAGTAGTAGTAGTAGTAGTAGTAGTAGTAGTAGTAGTGTTGTAGTAGTAGTAGTAGTAGTAGTAGTAGTAGTAGTAGTGTTGTAGTAGTAGTAGTAGTAGTAGTAGTAGTAGTAGTGTTGTAGTAGTAGTAGTAGTAGTAGTAGTAGTAGTAGTAGTAGTGTTGTAGTAGTAGTAGTAGTAGTAGTAGTAGTAGTAGTAGTAGTAGTGCAGTACCTGACGGTGTCGTACTTCCAGCCCTCGCCCTCGGTGCAGTAGCTGTTCAGTCCCTCTCTGTAGAACAGAGCTTTGTGTTCGCTCAGAGCCCAGACCACGCCCCCTCGCACACACACCTGGCTGAACACGCACGGCGAGTCCACCTTCACGGAGCGAGCGCAGGGCCGCTCCACGCTCAGACCTGACACACACACACACACACACACACACACACACACACACACACAGGTTATTTTTCTGACTCTCCTCACTTTAACTTTTATATCACAGGTTTAAAAACTCTGCTGTGACTCTGAACCTGCAGATCAAACTCAGCTGAAGGTTCAGTGTAAATAAACAGCAGCACAGCTCCCCCTGGTGGTCATACACAGACATTACAGCATATATGAAACCTCTTCCCCTGTTCTCTCTTCAGGCTCAGATTTGAATGAATAAATCAGAGGCAGCAGGAGGAGGAGGAGGAGGAGGAGGTGGTTTTCTCCTGCTCCTAAGGGGGAGGAGTCAGACAGGTGGGTTGTTACCTGTCTGCAGGAAGAGGTCTCCGTTAGTCCTGATGATCCAGGCAGAGTCGTCACTCAGAGCCACGAAGGCCGTCTGCTCCACCGCCTTGTACCAGTGGCGTTTTCCTTTCACAGACACTTTAGCACAAGCGAACGCCGTCATGCTCTTCTGCTCCACCTTCCACAGCAGGTTACCTGTCCGAGTGAGTGACAGTCAGCATCAGGACGCCGTACAGGTGGGCTAAAGGTCACTTCAACGTTCACTCCTCTTTAAAATCGGGTAAAAACGCGGGACATTCTGACTACAGGATCCATCAGGTGTGACGTCTGCAGCTCACCTGTGGGTGACAGCGCCATCTGGTGGATGTTGTCTTCATAACGCTGCCAGTTGAGTCCAGTGTCGGGTAAGACGCTGCAGAAGAGTCCCCCTTTAAAGTCCAGACACCACACATGCCTGAAACACACGGGTCACATGTTACACACCTGAGAGACACCTGAGAGACACCTGAGGACAGCTGAGAGACACCTGAGAGACACCTGAGGACAGCTGAGAGACACCTGAGAGACACCTGAGAGACACCTGAGGACAGCTGTCAGCCCACTCACCTGTCCGTCACCTGCAGACTCAGAATTCCACATCCTGGTCCTGAGTATCCCATCCAGCTCTCCGCCAACTACAGAGACAAAGACACGGTTACCTGCTGTCTGTCTCACCTGGACATGTGTGTGTCTCTGTCTCACCTGGTCGGGTTTGTGTGTGTCTCTGTCCTGAGCGTCCTGGTCGGTCGGTTTGTCTGCTGTCTTCTCCGTCTGATTGGACGGACAGGTGACGTTGTCTCCGGTAGGTGGTAGAGGTGGACAGTAGATGTCTCCTTCCTCATCACTGGACATGCTGGGTTTTTTGTCCAGGTTGGAGACAGTAGAGTAAAACATCTGATCCCCCACACCAGCAGGGGGCGCTAGGTCATCGTCCTTCACATGGACACGGGAAAAACTTGATTTTTTTGTCCTTTTAATTTAAATAAATCTTAGAAAGACAATAAACAACCTTCCCCCTCACCTCTTCGTCCTCGTCCTCTGGTCCAATCAGAGGGCTCAGGAACTCGTCCTCCTGCACCTCCATTGGCTGATACTCCTGGACGTCCTCCTCCTCAGTGTTTTGCATGTAGGAGAAAGTGCACTCCAGCAACAGGTCCACGTCCGGGGTCGGGGGGACAATCTCTCCCTCAGCCCCGGGACCGGGGACCTTTCCCGGGTTCAACTGTTCCTCCAGACCCTGGAGCAGCAGGGAGTCCGGAGGGAAGAGGGGGCTGGGACGAGGACAGAAAGAGGTCACAGAGGTCAAAGAGTCCTCGGGTCGGTTATTGGACAGTTACAGTGAGAAATGAGAGGACAGGTGGACAGAAGAAGGACGAACTATGAGGAGATGGGACAGAGACAGAATGAGACCATGTCCAGGGTCAACAGGAGAACAAGAGGACAACGTCTTCAGTCCCTCACCTGGACTGTTTGCAGGTGGACTCTCCACCTGCGTCCACTCCTCCAGCCTCCTGTGAGTCCTGGGTGGATTCTGGAGAGTCCTGGTTCTGAAGATCCAGACCAACGAAGGAGGCTCTGTCGCTCAGAGGAGTCCCACTTCCTCCGTCACTGCAGCTGCTGTCCTGGACTACAAACATGGAGTCTGACAGGCTGCTCTCCGAGAGACGGTTCCCACTGCTGCTGTCTGAGGACGGAGACACAGAGACATCCAACAACGATGAGACAGAGGACAGACGGCTGTCTCTCTCTCTCTCTCTCTCTCTCTCTCTCTCTCTCTCTCTCTCTCTCTCTCTCTCTCTCTGTCTCTCTCTGTCTCTCTCTCTCTCTCTGTCTCTCTCTCTCTCTCTCTCTCTCTCTGTCTCTCTCTCTCTGTCTCTCTCTCTGTCTCTCTCTCTCTCTCTCTCTCTCTCTCTCTCTCTCTCTCTCTCTCTCTCTCTCTGTCTCTCTCTCTCTCTCTCTCTCTCTCTCTCTCTCTCTCTCTCTCTCTCTCTCTCTCTCTCTCTCTCTCTCTCTCTCTCTCTCTCTCTCTCTCTCTCTCTCTCTCTCTCTCTCTCTCTCTCTCTCTCTCTCTCTCTCTCTCTCTCTCTCTCTCTCTCTCTCTCTCTCTCTCTCTCTCTCTCTCTCTCTCTCTCTCTCTCCCTCTCTCTCTCTCTCTCTCTCTCTCTCTCTCTCTCTCTCTCTCTCTCTCTCTCTCTCTCTCTCTCTCTCTCTCTCTCTCTCTCTCTCTCTCTCTCTCTCTCTCTCTCTCTCTCTCTCTCTCTCTCTCTCTCTCTCTCTCTCTCTCTCTCTCTCTCTCTCTCTCTCTCTCTCTCTCTCTCTCCCTCTCCCTCTCTCTCTCTCTCTCTCTCTCTCTCTCTCTCTCTCTCTCTCTCTCTCTCTCTCTCTCTCTCCCTCTCCCTCTCTCTCTCTCTCTCTCTCTCTCTCTCTCTCTCTCTCTCTCTCTCTCTCTCTCTCTCCCTCCACTTGCCTTGTCGTCTCCTCCTCCTCTTCTTCACTCGGATGGCCTTCACCACCAGCTCCTGCTGCATCTCCCCCTGACCCATGGGGGCGCTGTAGCGTCTGGAGCTCTGCTCGCAGGAAGCGGTCACAGGAGCGTTTCCATGGAGACTGTCCCACGAAGTGACTGAGCTGCTCCGGCTGCGAGAGCTGCTGGTGAGCAGACCTGACCTTTGACCCGGCTGCTCCACCTGGAATCACAGGACAGGTCACATGACACAGAGCGCCACAGGTGATTGACACCTGTCAGCTTTGGTGTCGATCAGCTGTCAATCACCTCCAGCTGCTCCTCCGCCTCCTCCACTTCCTCTGCTCCCTCCTCCTCCTCCTCTCGCTCGCCCTCCTCACTCTGCCTCTCCCATCCTCCTCCTCCTCCTCCCTCCTCCCTCCCTCCTCCCTCCACGATGATTGCCATGGTTCTGATCGGCTGAGCTGTTTCCACCGATCCGGTTGGCGGCAGGAAGGTGGGCGTGGTCAAAGGTGAGGTCAGGCGGATGGAGAGCTCAGACACTGAGGACAGAGAGACAGAGACAGACTGATGATGGGTCTGGAGGACAGACGGTCTGCTACAGTCTACACCTGTCTGAGGACTCACGGTTGGACGCCAGACCCTCAGGACTGTTGGACAGACGGATGATGTCTCTGTCTCCTTTCAGGATGAAGATCTCATTGTCACAACACGACACAGACACGATGTCCCCGCTGCTGTCCAGAGCTCCGATGATCACCTGAGAACAGGAAACAGAGGACAGAGGACATGAGACGTCAGAGACTCTGAAACCTGTCCAGCTGTGAGACAGTTCTCTTTATTCTGTCTTTGGGACGTTGTCCTGATGTTCACAGAGTCACTGAAGCGTTTACACCATCTCTGGGTTTTAGTGGTTACAGGAGAAGAGGACGGGACGGATCCAGACACGGTCCAGATACTTATTGAAGAAGAATAAAATGAGCACCACCCCCAATTTCCACCGCATCCAGAACGGCGGCGATTTCTGCGTACGCCAATTCGTACCAGATCTGTTTGTGAGGCGAATTTTGTGGTGGATTACAGACAGCAGGAATCACAAGAACTCACAGGAACCCGGTGTAAATTGACACGTTAACTTGAATGGTTACGATCGGAGGATACGACCTTTTAGGAGACGATCAGGATGAAGGTGGAGATTGAGGGTAAACCTTGAGATGTTGTTTAAAACTGAGGATGCAGCATCTATGATTTCCAGTTCTTTGTTGAAGACAACTGGACTTACTTGGGACGTTTCGCCTGAGGTGAAACTTCCCAAGTAAGTCCAGTTGTCCTTTCCAAAAGAGAGTTAAATATTGATCCTCAGAGGAACGGAAAGAAGTCGGTGTAAATTGACACGTTAACTTGAATGGTTACGATCAGCTACGATCGGAGGATACGACCTTTTAGGAGACGATCAGGATGAAGGTGGAGGTCGGGGGGTAACTATCACGTAGAGACAGTCCCGGTGCGTCGACTGTTCTCATTATGAAGGTAGTTTAGTTTTTTGTTCAGACCTCGTTCAGACAGTCCAGGACGTAGAGGCTGTACTCGTTCCAGCTGAGGATCCAGCCCTCTCTGAGGAAACAGCTGAGCAGACCCAGCTGTCTGTCTGATGGACGGTACGCTCCGATTGGACCAGGACGGGGGAACAGCTCGAACTGAGGAATCTGAGGAGTGAGGCGTTCAGACAGACGGAAAAAGAAAACAGTTAGTATCTGACTAAGAAGAGTTTTCATGGAGGAAAGAGACGAACGAACATTTGAAGACTGTCAGATTCAGAGCAGTGAGAGAACTAAAGCTCAGAGAGGTTCTCTATCGTTCTCCTGACAGAGGCGGAGTCTCTGTTCATGTTAGAAAAAACACTGAGTGATGTCATCGTCTTCAAACACCTTCACTTCAATGACACATCAATGACCGTCTCCCTTTATGACACATCAAAGCATTCCGGAACCCTCAACATTCCAGAACTCCTCCCTCTGAGAGCTCAGGGGTCTTTTTACAGTCATACTCCAGCACTCCTGGGGCCTCCTCCACTGTTGCCCTGCTCCAAATTCTGATTTCTGTTTATAAATGACAGATTAGTAAATACAGCAGTCACGTTTAGACCCCAGCTCTCAGAGAAGACTCTGAGAAGATAGCAGGATGCTTCTGTTTAAGCGGATGGATCTCTATTTTGCTCTTTCGGCAGATTATCGTGACTTTAGTAAAGAAGTCGTTGAGCGCAGCCTGGAGTCTCATCCTGGGATTACTCCGACACACCTTTACCGTGGACCGTCCTGCTCCTCCAGCTGCTTCATGTGTGTGGACTTACATTCACGTTTCTCAGCATTTTGTGCCTTTTTCCTGTTATAGTCCAAAGTGAACACAACTCAGACCAACAACCACGTTCTAAAAAGAACGGTTCGAACCTCCTCAGAGTTTTAACAAACTAAAACCAGAGTCAGAAGACTTCATTTGACCCACAGCTGCTGTGGTCGTTCCTCTAACACTGTTTTCCCAGTCCTCCCAGTGTACCTGCGCGTTAAAGAGTGGTTTGAGCAGCCGGGTGTCCTCCACCTGTCCCTTAACATCAGACCTCCACAGTCTGAGTCCGGGCCGAGCAGCAAACACCTGGAGGTCGCTCTGTTTGCAGAGAGCCGGCAGGAAGCAGGCTCCGAACCTGCCGCTGCTGCAGGAAACAAACAACAACAAAGACACAACATCAGTCAGTAAACAGGATAAACACTCGCCGACACGCCCCCATCAGAGCTACTGAGACCAGCTCTGTCTCACACACACTGAGGACCACAGAGCCCACCTCTGCTCCCACCTGTCCCTGAACTCTCAGGTATCTACCTCTTCCGTGGTTTGGCGCCCAGCTGTGTGACCTCCTGAGTCTGAGTGCAGAACAGCAGAGATCTGTGCTGGGTGGAGACCAGCAGCACCTGGTGACTGTACTCCATCTGGACCACACCTGAGGACTCCTCCAGCAGTAGGACGGGTTTACACACACCCTGAGAACACACACACACACACACACACACATGAGTTGGTTTTCAGGTCCAAACGGCGTCTTTGGTTCTTCAGGATCAACAAATGAAAGAGGTTAGTGACCCTGGTCTCACCTGGTCCAGGTCCAGAGATGAGAACACCACCCGTCCTTTATCGTCTCCTGAGAACAGTTTCATCCCGTTCGTGCTCCACGCCAATGACGTCACTGAGCCTTTATGGAGGCCGACCACGTCGAAACGCCTCAGCTACAGAGAGGGAGAGAGAGACGGTCGGGTGAGAGAGAAAGAGGGAGAGAGAGAGAGAGAGAGAAAGAGGGACAGGTGTGTGTGTGTGTGTGTGTGTGTGTGTGTGTGTGTGTGTGTGTGTGTGTGTGTGTCCCTTTATCAGACACACCTGTTGAGCTGCTCACCTGTTTGTTTCGTCCAGGAAGAGGAGACACCAGCTGGAAGACTGCAACACGACCTGAAGCTGTTCCCACGGCAACCAGGTCATCAAAACAGCTGAGCAGCTTCACAGCAGTGATGGCGTCACTCTTCCCCTGTAACACACACACACACACACACACACACACACACACACACACACAGAGTTTTGAATACACAGTGACAGCTCCACTGAAAACAAACTGAGCACCACAGAAGAAGAAGAATGGGCGGCGCCGCGCTCTGACCTCCAGGCTGTACTTGTTCATGTGAGCGAGGCGGCGACAGTACAGGTAGAGCATACCGATGCTGCTGCCCACCGCCAAGAAGTCACTGCTGCTGTCCAGAGCCGTCAGGTAGACCAGGACCGACCTGAAGCCCCGCTGGACCTGCAGGGAGAGAGAAGAGGAGGAGGAGGAGGAGCCTTCATCATCATCATCATCATCGTCAACTACATCCTGAGTTTGGTTCCTCAGGCGTCTTAGTTTCTGAGTTTTGGAACCGTTTAGACTTCTCTAAAGTTCTGAGTTTTTCCTCAGACTGTTCAGTATCTTGGTTCTGGTTCTGGTTCTGGTCCGATGTGGACAGTTCTCTACCTTAGCTGGAATGGCGTTCAGCAGGTAATACAGCGGGCAGAACTCTCTCAGGACGGATGGCGGGTTCGGTTGAGACGCCATGATTCTGCTGAGGTGGACTCTGCTGGACCTGAAAGGACATAATAATAATAATAATAATAATGATACTAATATTATTATTATAATTATTATTAGTATTACTATCATTATTAAGAGAAACAAATTGCTTTTCAAACAGCAATAATATACGGGACGACAAAACGACAAGATCTCAGAATGAAAAGAAAGTATTTTATTAACAGAAATGATAACAGAGATGATGGAATGATAAATAAATACAGAAGAGAAGAAGGTGGGTCAGGAGAAAAATGAGAAAGAAAGAAAGAAAGAAAACAAAATGGCGGACAGTACATGGATTTGGCCTGTAATTAAAAATAAAGTTAAACCAAAGCGGATAAAAAATCCGTTTACCTCCTGACACTTTAGTTCGTAGGTCTTTTACTCACAAATGTTCTTCATAAACTCCTTTTACGTTGACTGAGTCGATCCAAAACTTCACTTGTACTTACTCTGTTGTTTCCAAAGTTTAATGACCTGATTTTGCTCAGATTTGATTTAATGTCTGATGAGTGATTTATGTAAACTGTTGAATCGCGCTCTGTAGCTTTAGTACGTTTTAAAAATGGAGTGAATCATTCAGGGCCCAACACTGACCCCTGGGGGACACCGTGATGAACAACAATCCTACAAAACCTCCTGGACTGTGTACTGTTGTTGGCGTCTCCTTAATCTTTCTGACCCTCACAGACCCGGCCTCAGACAGGACAACAATAAGACAGAAATACAACTTTATCATGTTCTGGAGGACGACACATAAACCAGATTTTAACTCATGGTGTTATAACATCACACGTTTATTGTTTTATCTATTTAAATTATTGCATTATAACATGTTTATTCAATTGAACCATATTATTTACACTTTGTAACACAGCAGTATATTTCTTTAACACTAAACTTCAAAGTTATAACTTGATACCCATCATTGTTATATATCCCAGAGAGGCAGAAATACTCGAACAGTTAAAAGGGTTATGAACTCTGAGCAGCAAAGACACTCAAACCAATCCTTAAAAGGTGTTGTTAAGGTCCATCTGGTGGTCATTCCACCCCTTCTGTTCTTCCTGTGTAAAAACGTCAGACCAGTTATAATCTGGACACGATAAGACACAGGGATCTATTTCACATATCCTCCTGCTCTCTATACATGACCCCTCAATCATCTTTGTCTCACAAAATGTGCACTCATAATTATTTAGTGTAATCATACTGTACAGTTCAGTTTTTATAAATAAATATATACAAATACTCTGTATATCATGTATATATGAATATTTATTTTTTAGGTGCACATAAAATCTTTAGTTTTTGGGGCCTACAGCAAAATTTGGTTAGGCCAATTTATTCTTATTTAAGTTCACGTTAACACAACCATTAACAAATATCTCTGTGTTCATGTCTAAAAATTTATATTAATACATTTTTATTAGTTTAAAAATATATATAAACTAATAGAGAATGAATTCTAAACCTAGTTATTCAGCAGTAATACACCTGATGAAAATCTGGTCTATTTTAAACCGTCTCATATTTGACCTCTTGGCTCCACATTCAAACTTCATATGTGTCATTGTCACACACACAGATGTGTTAAAAACACAACAGTCCATGAGGTGTCTGTGGTTACAGTCTCATGGTGTGACTGCAGTATTTCCTCCTCTATTCTGCTCTTTCTATACTGACGGAGGGAGGCAACAGACAGCAGGGGCACACGAAAACAGCTCAGATTAAACACCATTTTAACGATCTTTAGAAGACTTTAAACACACCGAATTAAACAGACTAGTCTACAGAATAGTAACTAACCAAAAACTCTGTTTTGTGTCAAATTTCGTCCAGTCTTACTTCAGATAAATATTAATTTAATAATATTTCAAATGGAGTTTGGTGTGACGCTGTTCCTACGGAGAGACAGCAACGCCAGGTTCACGTTAGCTCCTCAGGTTCCTCTCAAACCTGACAGCCGACACAAAAACACCCCGAACAGAGAGCCACAGTGAAGTTTAATCGGCAGCAAACAAAGACACACAAACATGTTTGTTGAGGGACCCCCCCACAAACATGGAGACCAGGCTAGCTAGCATCATATGAAACCGAAACAGTCGAGCGTTAGCAGCGTTGGCGCCAAAAACCACAGAGAGACTTACTAAGAGAGGGGGGGTGGGCTCTTCAGGTGGTCTTCAGGTGTTTTAATGACAGCAGCAGCAGGTTAGTAAAGAGCCGAGAGGTGACATCGCCCTGTCTGTGTGTCTGACAGCTTCATACTGATGCTGAGCAGCTGTCAACAAACAGCGCCCCCTGCTGACAGCTCACAAAAACACAACCTGCAATTCCTGAGCGATTCCTGTTTATTCTACGCACTTTAATACTTCACCTCTTTTCCAACAGACACATTTAAAGCCACTCTTAATGAAAAACATCAGTACTTTCAGCTGTTTGATTATTTCCCTTATCTGCAGCCGGAGGATCATTTCATAAATAAATTTATAAATGAATGACCGGAAGCGGAAACCCAGCTACTTGTTGTTGGAAAAACTGGAAACTGGAGTTCGTCTAAACTGGATCTACTTTGAACCGGGTTCGTTCCTTACTTCCACATTTGCAGTTTTGTCGTTCCTGTAGGATTTTTAAAAACATGTTAGCTGCCAAAGGATTCAAAAGAGCAAATATGAGATTTGAACGATCTTCAATGATTGAAGTCTGCTCTCACAGACAGACAGACAGGATTATATTTTGACAGAAAATGACCAGACCTGCCATCATAATCATGTTTAAAACTGTTTGTCATGTCTAATTGGCTAATTTTGGTACCACTCTTAATTTGTTCTGGCATACATACTCTCATTCATGTTTGAAAATTTGTTACTAAAGGGTAAACATAATACATTAATGTAAACAAACCATGTGCAATTTTAGACACTGATCTGCTAGTGCAATCGTGTGCTACGGGTATCGTACAATTCAATTCAATCTTGCACTTCTGCACTCGTCACTTTAACAAGCTGTACTGTAGCAAATGTCACTATAAACACCTTTAACACATGACACTTTAATTAGCTCTTTACAATTCTCTCTTTTAATCCTTTTGGTCCCTTTACTATTGGTCACTTTGTCTTTGGTCTGTGTTCGTGTTTATGTATATTGTATGTATGTTGTCAGTGTTCTACTGCCTTAGTCATGTTGTTTGTACTTTTACATTATTGCTTTTATGTTTAACATCAGCCTGCCAATGGGACTGGGGATGGAAATGAGCCATTTGGTTACAATCTCACATACTTACATGTTCATCAATATGTACTGTTCCCATTTTTTAAAATAAATAAATAGTAAAAAAGGAATGAAAAATTGTTGCATACAATATAGCTAAGTCGGAAAAAACTGTAGTATAGCAGTCTTTCATGATTTTCCGTATGTAAATAATAATTATAATAATATTAATAATAACAATAATCATATAAACCAGCATACTAAAAAGAGTCATGGAATACAAAAATAAAATAAAATAAATATGAAAACAGTCTTCATGTAGATTAAAGCTGGCTCATAATCCAAACACTATCTTCACCTTTTTTAACCCAGCCAATTTTATTTACTAACAAAATCTTTAATCGAACAATATCTAAATATAGGCAATGTTACATAAGTAATAATCAAACCTTTATTATTACAAATTCAACTTTTAAAATAACATTGTACAGGGTTATTTAACAGGAATTTAGAGTTATCCACTTCTTGGTTGAAAGGGTAACTGGAGGTTCTTAAAGACGTTTGGCTTAGGGCGGATCCTACACAGACAAAGTCGGGAATATATTTCGGTAGAGGTCGACTGCATATACTTTAGATAATTAATTGGTCCAAACGACGTCGTTAAAATGTAGATATAACCAGAATGCGTCCGTGTTTGATTCGTTGACATGACTATCAATGGTCCGGTCCTGGAGTTGATCCAGTCCGGGACTTCTTCTCTCCCGCCCCGATGATGGCTAAGCTAGGCTAGTACATAACTCAGCCAGCTAACCGTTACCCGCTCCCGTTATCAGCACTCCCGTTAATGTTCTCCTTCATCCCAGCGGAACATTTTATTCTCCACAACACACCGGGTTTAAAGCAAAGTCTTTATTCTGTTACATCGATAGACGATACAGTTGATCTGATCCACCGATTACCCCCCAGTCTGAGCTAAGCTAACTGTTAGCCTCACGGCCAAAATGGCGGACAACGAGGATGACAGCGGTTCGACCAGAACAATAACAGCCGCGGAACCGCCGGGGGCCGCGACCCAGACACCCGCCTCTCAGAGCACCCAGCCCGGGGACAGTTTAGCTTCAGCACCCGCTGCTCAGAGCGCCCAAGCCGGTGAGAATGTGTCCGCCGATCAGAGGAGCCACCCTGGGGAGAGTTCACAGACAGAACCCGGGGCAGAGAGCGCTCACCCCGGGGAGAGTTCACAGACAGTACCCGTGGCAGAGAGCAGTCACCCCGGGGAGAGTTCACAGACAGTACCCGGGGCAGAGAGCAGTCACCCCGGGGAGAGTGTCCCCGAGGTGTCCGGGGTTCAGCTGGCGGATTTCTTCCAGAGCTGCCCGGAGGAGCAGAGCATCCTGGTGGGCACCGAGTTCACCAGCCTGGGCACGGATCTCAGTACCACCACCATCATCTACCTGCAGCCGGACGGCAGCATGGTGGAGGGTTCCGGGCTGACGGCCGAGGAGCAGCAGGCTCTCCTGGACCAGCTCACCAAGCAGCAGATCGTCCAGGTCTCCGACACCGAGGCCGCCCAGCTGCTCCAGCAGAGCCAGCTGGTCAAGACCATCCCGGTCCAGAACACAGCCCTGGACGCGAGCCAGCTGCAGCAGGTCATCAACCAAGTCACCAAGTCACAGCAGCAGATCCACGTCCAGGTTCCCCAGCAGACCGTGAAGCAACAAGTCCAGGTCCAACAGATCCAGGTTCCCCAGCAGGGTGTGAAGCAGCAGATCCAGGTCCCTCAGCAGAACCTAAAGCCCGCCACCCAGAACAACGCCTCCCAGCAGCTGAAGAGCGTGGCCCAGCAGGTGGCCAAGCAGACCAGCGGCTCGGTCCAGGTGGTCCAGAAGAAGGTGAGTCTGATGTAGAGCTTTGCAGCGGACTCACCTGAACCATAATGACCCCGACCTGGATCTGATTGTATGTCTGTACCAATGCTCTATTCCAGTCCCAGTAGAACCAGTCCCCTCATCACAGGGGTGAAACATTATTGTTAAAGGGATATTCAGGCGTAAAATTAATTTAGGGTCAAACCCACCGAAACACCGAGTTAGACCCCCTCCAGAGATGAATGTTGCCGACCGCTTGCTTCTCTAGTTATACCAACTTTAGTAACGACCGCAGGATAGAAATACAGAGAGACACGCCCCCAACCAAAACGCCACTCTATAGCCACAAATAATGCTCAGAACAGCACCTAACTTCATCAACAGGACATATAGGGTCACAGACATAGTACTAGACACCAAACATCTTTTTAACTTTGACTCATTTCTTTAGCAAAGAGACTAAACACAACTCACCTACTCTCTTCCAGCAGACGCTTGTTTGTAGAGAGACCTCAGGCCAGTCCATTAGGGACTACAGCGGGGTGCCGCAGCTCAAGGAAGAACATTTATGATCATTTCTTTATCATTTCCTTGAAGTAATAATCACCATATTAATCATTTTACAGACACGGTAGTTCTTCTGTCTTAGCGTCTCGGTCTGATTGTATTTCCATGAAGAAATGATCATAAATGTTCTTCCTTGAGCTGCGGCACCCCGCCGTAGTCCGTAATGGACTGGCCTGAGGTCTCAAAGTAAGGAGCTCACAAAGAACTTTAGGGGAACGATGAAAATTGATCAATAATGTTTCTCTTATTGATCGACCTTAGTACTATTATTAGAAATCAATTTTAGGTCTTTTGGTCACATGACAGTGAAGCTATTGAAGGAAAACGGCCTTTTCTGAGAACATCAACCGGTAATTTATTGACAGTCCCTTATTCAACACCGATGTTGACAGTGAGGGTGTCGAGTAGATTTAACTGCGCTGCTGTTGTTATTCCCGGTTATGGAGAGTGAGAAGACACCGGTAGATCCTCAGAGAATGTCCGTCAGATATCCAGCCTGAAACTAACTTCACCGCCGTATTTACAGGAGAATATATCCAACCTAAAACTAACTTCACCGCCGTATTTACAGGAAAATATATCCAACCTAAAACTAACTTCACCGCCGTATTTACAGGAGAATATATCCAACCTGAAACTAACTTCACCGCCGTATTTACAGGAAAATATATCCAACCTGAAACTAACTTCACCGCCGTATTTACAGGGAAAATATATCCAACCTGAAACTAACTTCACCGCCGTATTTACAGGAAAATATATCCAACCTGAAACTAACTTCACCGCCGTATTTACAGGAAAATATATCCAACCTGAAACTAACTTCACCGCCGTATTTACAGGAAAATATATCCAACCTGAAACTAACTTCACCGCCGTATTTACAGGAAAATATATCCAACCTGAAACTAACTTCACCGCCGTATTTACAGGAAAATATATCCAACCTGAAACTAACTTCACCGCTGTATTTACAGGAAAATATATCCAACCTGAAACTAACTTCACCGCCGTATTTACAGGAAAATATATCCAACCTGAAACTAACTTCACCGCCATATTTACAGGAAAAAAAAAACATTTGTTGATATGTTTACATGTGACCCTAAATACATTTGATAATCCACACACATCTATTTTTAGTCGCAGTGTAACGGTCGAACTGTCGAACCCTGAGATGACGTAGTTGGTCTTTGTCATATTTAGTCGTGGAGTTTGTGGTTGTCCCTCATGATGCTGAAGGTTTGATCTCTCTGATTTTCTGTCCTTTCAGCCTGAGCCTGTCAGGATCCAGGTCCAGGTTCCCATCAAACAGGAAGTGAAGTCAGGCTCCGCCCCCCAGCAGAAGACGGTAGCTGTCAATCCTTCGCAGGTGAAGCTGGCGTCCAATGGCAACGTGAGCAGCGCTCAGATTATCCACATCCAGCCTATGGTTGGTCAGCAGGGTCAGCAGTTCTTCCTGCAGCAGAACCCGGGAGACCCCCCTATCCAGCTGCTGTTACAAAGCCCCGCCCCTGTGGTCGGATCTCTGCTTCCAGTGGTCCACAAACTCGCAGCCCCGGTGAAAACCACAGTGACAAGTCCCAGCCAGAGTCAGAAACCTGCTGTGTCTCCTGTTAGAGTCCAGACCCCTGCCACAGTAAAGACCCCGCCCACCCCGACGATCAAGACCCAGCCCAGCCCCTCAACGAAAACCGTTACCATCCCGCTTATCAAAACTCCTGATAACGGCACAAAGACAGTGACCAGTAAGAGTCCAGTTAAACCCCCTGTCCCAGCAAGCCCAGTACAGACCACCACACCTGCCACCAAACCTGCCGTCAAACCTGCCACGGCGGCCACACCCCCTTCAGCCCCTGCAGTGAAGGACAGAGATAGGGAGAAGAAGTCAAAGAAGAAAGAGAAGAAGGCTGTGAAGGTCCAGACCAGATCGGGTCGAGTCTCCAGACCGCCAAAGTACAAAGCCAAAGACTACAAGTTCATCAAGACCGAGGACCTCGCCGACAGCCACCAGTCCGACTCCGACGACTACTCCGACATGAGCGTGGAGGAGGAAGGCGACGGCGAGAAGAAGGAAGGCTCCGCCCCCGGTGGCTCCCCCTCCCTCACCTACAGCCACAAGTCCCGGTCTCACCGCTGCCAGACATGTGACAAAGCCTACATCGGCGCCGGCGGTCTGAACCGGCACTACAAACTGAACCCCACCCACGGGGAGCCCGACCCGCCGGACAACCAGCCCAGCAACACGTCACGCCCCGTCAGAGAGGACAGCCAATCACAGGAGACCGTGTCAGGAGCAGTCAAAGAGGAGGAGGGGAAGAAGAAGGAGGACAAGCCTGCCGCCATGGCAACAAACAAAGTAAGAGACCTGTCAGCCAATCAGAGCTCTGATCTGCAGATCTATTCCAGTCTTATGCTGCGTTCGAGTGACATCAGGAGTCGGAGCTGAAAATGACGTCACATCCGAGTTCCGTGTTTCAGTTCAGACGAAAGTTATTTCAGCGCTCGCTTTATATTCGGACAAGGTTAGCGCTAAAATAACCTTCGTAGACGTAGCCGTTTCATTTCCTCCTCCGATTTTTGCTTTTTTTCGACTTGGTAACTGAAATGCTGGGAACTCCGGTGTGACGCCATTTTCTGCTCCGACTCCTGATGAACTCGAACGCAGCAGAAGTAACAAAGTTTCAGATTCATGAACCGACTGGTAACAATAACCGTTAATCCGTAATCGACTGGAGGAGGGTTCGTCAGCTCGTTAACAGCTCATCAATGACTTCTCTGTGTCTCAATGACAAGCTAGTAAGTAGTTAATAATCAGCTGGTTAACCACTGTGGTTTTAACTGATGGATTACTGACTAATCACTAATTAACTACAAGTTCATAAACGACCTCGAACCACTACGCCGAGTTAAGTCCTGACTGTCTGTCTGTTGTCCTCAGGTGGAGGGCGGTCCGGCTGCAGCTGTAGGACTCAGAGGTCTCCATCACCGAGGCCCGGGTCGGCCCAGAGGACGAGGGAGAGGCAGGGGGCGGGGTCGAGGGCGGGGCATCGGACGATCTCTAGCACCGCCTCCTAAAGTGAGCTCTTTGATTTGAACCAATGAGGTCACACTCACCTGTACCTGTCCAGAGTAGAACATCACAACACAGTGAGCTAACCTGATTGGACGATTTTTTTAAGGTGACAGTCGGCCTCGGGAGTAGGCGGGGCCGCCGTGGTCGACCTCCAAAGCTTGCCGTTGCCACGGTAACTGCAGAGCAGCAAGCAGAGAGGAGACGAGACCGTCTGCAGGAGGTAAGAGGGAAGGAGAGGAAAGCAGGAAGATTTTGATTGATTGTTGACATGTTTCCATGACAACGGTGTGACGATGTTTACAGCTGGTGGATCAGTGCGAGGACGAGGAGCTGATGGACATCGTTCTTCCTCGTCTGACCAAAGTGTTGAGTCTGTGGGAGCTCCTGCTGGCGAAGGTACACACTCCTACACAACACGTGTGTGTAGATGTGCAGTAACACACCGAAGAAGACCAACTCTGTCCTGGTCTCGGTTCTTTCAGGTGGAGCGTGGTGGACCGGCTCGGACCCGGTTCCCGGACATTTACAGAGAGTTCGAGTCCCTGCAGACTCAAGTGAGACAGGCCGCCCAGGATTACATCATCAGCCCGCAGGGCGGAGCCATGCCGCTGGAGGTCAGGAACATCGAGGTGAGGAGATCTCAGTGGTCCTGATGGTCTCAGGTGGTCTGAGGTGGTCTGTGCTCCACCCCACACTGAGCTGGTCTGTGTCTTACAGGTGGCCCGGTCTTTGGGGATCCTGGATGAGGTGAACAAGATGAAGGTGGTTCCTGGAGCGTCCTCCAGCTCCAGTATGACCAACAAAAACGTCCGATACATGGAGGTGAGAACCAGCAGAGCAGGGTCCAGGTTTGGTCTGGTTCTGGTCTCCAACATCTAGATATGTTTGCTGGATTTCAGAATCCTGGATCTGATGAAGACCTGAGCCGGGTTCAGTCTGATTCAGTCTTAAACTCTGTTTCCCAGAATTCCAAGATGTTGCCGCCTTCAAAAAGATTCAAGATGGAGAACAGCGTTCCGGTTCACCAGAACGGGATCGAGACGCCCAGGACAGGTACGACTGCAGGGTCTGGGAGGACTACAGGTCCCCCCTGATTCAGATCTACAGAATCCGGCTAACTTTGGTTTTTAGGATCACTCACAAAACGGGGCGAGAATTGATAAGATTTTATCGATATTGATGTCATTTTTCTTTAACGATTCCCTTATCAATACCTTTCCTTGACTTCAAAAGTAGATTTTAGGTTTTTACCGTGAACTCTAAATTTTATTAAGTCTCTGATAACAGAAACAGATGTACGCCACCTTCAGTCTAAAGATGATATTAGTTCATCGTTTTTGACATTATGTTTATGTAAACACAGGACAAACGTCAGGGTGACCATATTCCGTCGCGTCAGTGACTTTGCTTAGAAGTGAGCGGAGGGGCGGAGCTGCAGAGAGGACTGATCCTCTGCTCTGTTTTATAATGAATAAAAACACGTTAAGGACATTTGAAGGACTTTATAAACTCCCCTGGACAGCCCCCTAAAAGAGGACATGTCCGGGTAAACGAGGACGTACGGTCACCCTAACACTCGTACCTTTTATGCCGTGCTGAGACGGAGCAGCAGCGGCTGACGAACAAATACATGACGCCTTAGATTTGATGCCCCCTTGACAAATGTCGTCTTTCTTAGTAAAATTAAAACACGCTTTAGATCGTTTCTGCTAACTTTTCGTACCGTCCACACCCGGAAGAAAAGAATCGCTAAGATAAAACGTAAATGATGTCGATGGATTGAACCATTTAGGGTCTGGTCAGGTCTGATCCAGGTTTTCGGTCCAGTACCTGCAGTTTGTCAGGTGTTGTGAGTAGAACCACAGGAACCGCTCCTCTTCGCTGGAGGAGGATGGGCGGTTCTGAATGACCTCTCTGACCCGGTTTCCTTTAAACATACAGATCAATGTCGAGTCATGGAGACCATCACCATGGCAACAGCCTGACTGAACTAGTTTCAGGGTTCAAGTTTGATTCTGAATTTTCTGTTTAAGGAGGAACTTCAGTGACCCCTACGACCCCTACGACCTCTGTGACCCCCACGACCTCTGCGACCCCTCCCACCTCTGTGACCCCTCCCACCCCCTCGGTGAAGCCCTCCTCAGCCTCGGCACCTCCTCTGGGCGGACCAGCTGAAACCAAGGCCGCTGACTCCACCTCCAGGTGAGCTGGCCCCGCCCCCGTCCTTAAAGGTGAAGACATGTTCTTAAAGGTGTCCCAGTCTTAAGTTGACCCATCTGGACCAGGTCTGAAAATGTCTCTCTTGTCCCTCCAGCTCCTCCACCTCCTCAACTCAAGCTCCGCCCCCTCCAACACCCATGGAGGTGACCCCAAGTGAGAACCAGGGGGAGGGGCCTCTGCGAACTGGCGCCAAGGCAGAACCACAGTCCCAGAGCCAGGACCAGGTCCAGAGCAGCAGTGACTCAAAAAACCCGGATCAGAGTTCAAAGACACCCGGATCCAGCTCAGTCCAGACACCCGGGTCCAGCTCGGTCCAGACACCCGGGTCCAGCTCGGTTCAGACACCCGGATCCAGCTCAGTCCAGACACCCGGGTCCAGCTCGGTTCAGACACCCGGGTCCAGCTCTGTCCAGACACCTGGGTCCAGCTCAGTCCAGACTCAGGCTCCCTCTCAGCCCCCCCCTCAGAAGGACCCGTCTCAGTCCGGGTCCAAGGAGCTGCAGGAGGGTCAGGAGATCTACATCCAGACCGACGGGATGACCGTCCAGCTGGCGGACCCCGGACTGGACCGGATCGTGATTGTCAACGGGCCGGATGGGACCACCATGCACTTCCAGACCCCAGAGGGGGTCCCCCTGGAGGCGGTCCAGGCCTTGCTCGGTATCGAGGCTTCGGATGGAGCCAAAGCCCCCCAGTGAACCTGAACCAGGACCAGAACCATACTGACCCTGGAGAGTCTGGACTTAAGGGTGGATTTTGTTTGGCTACCGGTCCTCAGGGTCCAACATGTGGACCCACAGAGACGTGGACTGCAGAGACCTGGACCTCCTTTAGTCTTAATGAAAGTCCATCTCTACCTGGAGGGGGCGGAGCTTAAACACACCTGTAACTCTTGTTGTGTGTCTCTGAGGGGAAACAGGACGGACTGTTCCTTTAATGTCACACCTGGACGCTTTTATTTCAAACAGGAAGAACAAATGGAAGGTTTTTCAAAATAAAACTCTGTTCAGAGGCCGAACATCAAAGGATTTTCTGTAGAAATTTTAAAGTCGTTTTTTCTTATTTAACGTTCCTCATGTTTGATGATTGAAGTTCATCTGAGGGGGAAATGCTCGACGGTCACCTGACAGCCGGCGCCGCAGGTTTCAACACAGTTAAAGGGAAATTCTGCTGTTTTATAAACTGTCCTGACATCGCTCTATCCGAGCCACCAGACTCCATTCACAAAAACAGGAATTTAACCTTACAGGTCCGCGCTGTCGCTCCAAGGTGATTGATCAAATGTTCTGGTTTGTGAGATTTAAACTCTGGACTTCAGCTCCAGTAAAGTTCACGTGTAAAACAAAATAAGACAATTATACGTGTGTGGAGTCAGAGGTGGAGCGGCGGCTCCTGGGTTCTACTCAGTAAAGTTCCTGTTTTTCTCAGTGGGGTTTGGTGTGTCAGAGAGTGATGGATCCACTCACCTGAGACGGTCAGAAAGCATTTTTACATGGACTTCAGTGTCTCGGATTTATGTTTGTGGTGTCAAAGTCCTGGTTTTAGAGCTCGGGTTAAGTCCTCTCTGGGTTTTTGAGGGACCAGGTTTTTGACGGTAAATGACAGTTTGTAAACACCCTCTCCTGGTTTTCTGCTGACTCATCGAACATGATCGCAGCAAAGAGTCGTGGAGAAACTGAGTCTGAAATAACCTGAAAAAAGCAGAATTTCCCTTTAGCCGCGGCTCAGCTGGGTCCGACACCTGGATGTCCAAACCTGGATCTGCTGGTCCCCGTTAACCCTCTCCTCCCTCCGGTCGACAGATCCAGCTGTTAAATATGAGTAGCTCTCAGTTTGTGAGTTTAGTGTCCTCCGTAGGCCTCCGTACTCAGCAGTGTTATTTATCGTTGGGCTTGCTCTCTGATTGGTTGGTCCTGTTCTCACCTGTGATGATGTCAGCAGCGGCTCCTCCTGCTGGTTTTTAAGGAATCTGGAGTGATTGTAAAATATGTAAACTATGTTTGTTTTTTTCCAGTGTTTCCATGTTTGGAGTCGTCGTTTGTTTCCGATAGATTAGTTGCTGTTTATATGTAGATAAATATGAAAACAAAGTTTAAAAAAAGTTGCACTATTTTATTACTTTTTATAAAACTTCACAGTGAAACCTTTTCCAAGCTGAAGGTTTGTACTGGTTTGGACGAGGGACTGGGGGGGCGGTCTGGAGGACTTCAGTTTACTGACGTGTTGCTGGTTCGAGTGCTGAATGCATTAAACACATTTCATGTTCCTCCAATAAACTGATGTGACAAACTCGGACCCGAGTCTTTGCATGACTGTCCAGGAGGTAGGATGGTTTTTTGGAGGATGGTATGGGAAGGTCCCGCCCTCCTTCCCCTCTAATTGGGCGATGTCAGATGTCGGAGCTGAAAGTTATTTTGGCGTTTGCCTTGTCCGAAAAAAAGGCAAGAGCTAAAATTTAGTTTAATTTAGTTTAATTTAGTTAAGTTTAGGTTAGTCTAGTTTAGTTAAGGTTAATTTAGTTTAATTTAGTTAAGTTTAGGTTAGTCTAGTTTAGTTAAGGTTAATTTAGTTTAGTTTAGTTAAGTTTAGGTTAGTCTAGTTTAGTTAAGGTTAATTTAGTTTAGTTTAGTTAAGTTTAGGTTAATTTAGTTTACCAAAGTTATGTTCAGTTCACCAAAACAGTTCAGTTTAGGTTATTTTAGTTTAGTTAAGGTTAATTTAGTTTAGTTTAGTTAAGCTTGGGTTCGTTTAGTTTAGTTTGGGATAATTTAGTTTACTAAAGTTATGTTCAGTTCAGCGTAGTAAAGTTATGTTTAGGTTATTTTATGTTTAGGTTACTAAAGTTTATTTTAGCTTAGGTTAATTTAGTTTAGTTTGGTTAAGTTAAATTTAGGTTAATTTAGTTTGGTTTAGTAAAGTTAAGTTTATTTTAGCTTCTTAAAGTTAAGTTTAGGTTCATTTAGATTAGCTTAGTAAAGTTAAGCTTAGGCTTTGGTTTAGTTGAATAAAATTAAGTTAAGTTTAGTTTAGTTTAGGTTAATTTAGTTTAGCTTAGTTTAATTCAGTTCAGTTAAGTTAAGCTCCGACATCCTTCGCCTCTGATTGGCTAGATTGGCTGTGAAAGGTTTTTGTCAGGTTCAGAGATTCAGAATTGCGAAAATGTTCTGTTTGATGTACAGATGTTTCCCAGCCAATCAGAGGCACTGCCCCCCTGTGGAGAAATGTGGTACTGACATAATAATCAATCTTTTTCAAATTTCAGGTTTGGGTCAAACTTTCCTCTGATCGCCGTCAGCAGCTGATCGATCAGTCTGAAGTCGTCTTTTCTAAACTTTAATATTCACCCTAAATGTTTTATATCCTGATGAGTACAGACAGCTGGATGGAAATTCAAAAGTCTTTATAACTTTGTTCTGAGGTGAATTCTTTTATTCTTAATAAGTGAGGAAATGTTCACGTTTGTCCGGACTCTTCCTCCTTTGTTCATATCAAACTGTGTTTTATCAAATATCATGTTAACACTGTAGATCTGCTCTAGACTGACCTGCTGTCTGATAATCAGACAGTTAACAACCACATCTGTAGACCAACACTCTGGACCAGGTCTTGGTTCAGTTCCTAAAGACTTCAGGGTCTCCAGTAGACTCAGAAAATCCAAAGTTCTGGATCAGAAAGATCTCCACGATAAATATTTACAGAAAAGGAAACAGGAAGTCAGACAGGAACTTAAAAAGTTCGTTATTTCAGGTCCAGAAGAATCGAGTTTAAAAACCTGTAACTGTCCAGAGTCCAGGTCCTCAAAGTCCAGGTCCTCAGAGTCCAGGTCCTCAGAGACACTGATGTATCAGACTCGTCTCGGGTTCTTCCAGCTGGTCCTCTGAGTTCACCTGTTCAGTAAAGGTGTGCTTTAGGCCCTGGGCGGAGCCAAAATACCTGACGCTGGTCACCTGACTCTGATGACATCAGAGGGGGCGGTGCCCTGTCTCCAGCAGCAGGGCCTCCAGAGTCAGCCTGGTCTCCGTGGGGACGTAGGGCTGGTGCAGCCAACAGGACAGGTAGACCATGCAGAGGTCAGAGGTCGCAGTGTGAGCCACTTCCTGCAGGATCGTCTGTTTCAACCTCAGCTCCTGACGGTACGAGTCCAACAGGACGCGGGACGAGTCCTCTGGAACGGAAAGACATGAGGCGTAACATCCACTGACATCATACAGGTGTGTTCTGACATCATACAGGTGTGTTCTGACATCACACAGGTGTGTTCTGACATCACACAGGTGTGTTCTGACATCATACAGGTGTAGTCATGCTGCGTTTGAGTTTCCTCCGAAGTCAGATGTCGGAGCTGAAAATAACGTCACACCCGAGTTCGCAGCGTTTCAGTTACAAAGTCGGAAAAAAGCAAAATCGGAGACGGAAACAAGATGGCTACATCTACGAAAGTTATTTGTCCAAATATAAGAGAAGCGCTAAAGTGAAGTTTTGTTTTGTTAAGTTAAGCTTAGGTTAATTTAGTTAATTAAAGCTAAGTTTAGTTTAGTTTAGGTTAGTTTAGTTTAGTTTATTTAAGCTAAGTTTAGTTTATTTAAGTTGAGCTCCGACATCTTTCTTTCTGAGTTAACTCGTCCGCAGCGTCATTCTGCTCAGGTGTATGTGATGATGTCATACAGGTGAGACTCCTGGGCTCTCGTTGAGGTCTCTCAGGTGAACTCACCGAACTGTTTGGTGTTCCAGGTGTGAAACAGCGGAAACTTCCTCCCTTCAGGGCCGAACTGAAACTCCTCCAGCTCCTGAATGCCTCGCTGTGATGTCATCAGGCGCTCCATTTTGGTCACCACGGCAACCTGACAGGTAGAGGAGGACAAATGCCGATCAGCGCGAAGGACGAACTTTTAACCGTTTTTCAACGAACTCAAAGTTTCACTGAATGATTCTGCTTTTTTCAAAGAGCTTTTATTTTGTAAATTCATGAATCCCAAAGAGGAAGTGATGTCATCAGCCCTAGAGATCATGACCTCCTCAGGACTCGTTCGTATTAATCCGATCTTTGTCTCCCTCAGAGGAAAGGACTCTCACCATTCTGTCCACAATGTCCTTCAGTTTGCTGCATTTGTCCTGAAGCTCTGCAGCGCCCCCTGTCTGCTGGGAGGAAGACGCTGCTGATGAAGACGAGGAAGACGAAGGAGAGCCGTCCACCTGCAGCATCTGATCACCTGTGGAGCTGAAACAGAGAATTAAGATCAAATTAACTAAACTAAATTAACCTAAACTTGATTTAGCTAAACTAAACTAAACTTTACTAAACTAAATTAACCAAAACTAAATGTAACCAGACTAAACTTAACCTCGCTAAATTAAACTTAACTTAACTAAACTAAACTACACTAAATTAACCTAAACTTGACTAAAACTTGAGCAGACTAAACTAAACTCTGGTCAGACTCAAACTTAACAAACTCAAATTAACCAACCAATAGAAAGCAGCTGTAAGTAACCCAGCTCGACAAATCTGAATAAATTCAAGACTAATTAAGACGAGTTAGCCTTAAACCTAAACTCACCTTAACCGAACAGAATCAAACTCACCGTGACAGTCTGATGTTGACGATGTTCGTCGCCTCGCTGAATCCTTCGTCGTTGAGTTTTTCCCACCTCATCATCAGGTTGTGCCAGTCGGCTGCGTTGTCTTTAATTTTTCTCGCACTTCCTGTGACAGCGGAGGACTTCCTGTTCGCTGAGTTTGCAGTGATGTCACTGGACTGACCTGAAGAACACGACGTGAAAAGACGAGAAAAAAAAACGAGAAATATGAAGAAAACGGAAAAGTGAAAAATAAAATCTAAAACGTTCAATTCAAGAACTTTTGTCCGAAACATCATGTGAATATTAAATAAATGTGAAATAAAAATGTTAAACGTTAATATTCAGTGTCCGTGTTAAATGCTAATGTTAGAGGGGGAATTGAAGTCAAAGTATTCGGGGTAAATAAATAAGTTAATTTAAACACTTTAATATAAACAGATTTTTTATGATCAAGTTTTATTCTGGATCTGTTGAATGTGAAATGTTCGCGGATCGGAACTAAAAAGGTTCAAATTCAGTGAATCTGATGGGGAGTTAAAGCTGACCAATCACGAGGCGAGAAAATGTAAACAAACCCATGACGTCACGACTTCATTACGAGTTTCACCTGGAAAAGACCTGAAGAGAGTCAGACTGACCCTCACCTGAGAGGTCTGAGGTGTCCCTGGAACACACACACACACACACACACACACACACACACACACACACACATACACACACACTCTCTCTCTCTCTCTCTCTCTCTCTCTCTCTCTCTCTCTCTCACACACTCACACACACACACACACACACACACACGGCTGCGGGTTCAGGTGTGTTTCAGGTTTTCTCTCACCTTCCATTATTCCACCAACACAAACGCACGCGCTGCTTCTGCTCCGTTGATCCTCAAACTTCACTTCCGGGTTCTTCTTCTTCGGTGGTGTCTCTCCTCCTCTGCAGAGTTTAGCGCCTCCTGTTAAAACTGAAAAATGAGAATCTAAACGTGAGAAACCTTCATTATTATCAAACAGAGAGCAGTTTAATCAGTCTGAAACAGTTCAGAGATGTTTATATTTGTTAGATAAATGTTTCCTAAGACGTTTAAACGCGTTTCTTTAATCGAAGTTTAGTCGGTTAAATCTGTCTGTTCTCGGTCACATGATCGAACAAGTTTTTCCTCAAACTCTGATTTTCACTAAAGACTCTCTGTCCGAGTCTGAAGGTGAATTTATTCATCATTATTTTATTACCATTTAAAGTCAAAATCAGACTGAGCGCTCGAGCTATGATTTACCGACAGTGACGTCAGCACGTTCACAGATTTTATACAGTGAGGAGGTCTCACTCTGTTTGTAATTTCAGTCCGAATCTGTGTTTAATTTATTTTATGCTTTTTGAAAATCTCTGTAGAGCCTGAAACTACAAACCCGGTGGGAGGAGCTTCGGCTGGTATTAAGTTTCCAGGTAAGGTGTGTTTGTGGTGAATCCTGAACGCTACGGTGGCCGAGAACCGCCACTGCTGCAAATAAAAAAGAGTGACAAAAAAGGAGTCACAACGGAGGTTACCGATGCAACAAAAAAAGAAACCGAAGCCCGCTGCAAATAAAAAAGACATGGTGCAGATTAAAAAAAAAGTTACTATGTGTCATGTGGTTCGACCATGGAGCGCCTGAGTCCATATGAAGTTGAACTGAAGCTAACACGACACCGACATCCTCCAGGTCAAGATTACGAAGTGAAATTAATCAATAACTTTTCCACGAACTTTTTTGTTCGTCTTCACGCCGTCGTCTTCTGTGCCTAGATCGTAAATCATCATCATTATTGGTCCCTGCAGATCACTTCTGTTGTGACTTTTTTTGTTTTTTTTGCATCGCCACCTTTTTGTGTCGTTGACTCTCGTTGTGGTTTTTTTTAAATCTGCACTGTTGCTGTTTTTATTTGCAGCGGGCTTTGGTGACTTTTTTTGTTGCATCAGTAACTTCCGTTGTTTGTTTTCTTTTCTTTCCTTTTTTTTTTTTTATTTGCAGAAGTGACGGTTTCTCTGCCACCGTGAAAATCTCTCTGTAATACCTGAAACAAACACACCCAGTGGGAGGAGCTTCGGCTGATCACGTGTTTCCGGGTTCCAGCGTGTTTGTGGTGAATCCTGATCTCAGTAAAAACAGTCGGAGTGAGACGTCTGTCTGCTGTGACTCTCTGTGCAGCGGAGTGACGCAGCAGGAAGCAGCGGAGACCAAAGGAGCGTCGGTGCGTCTGATCAACAGGCAGACAGTTTGTTCGACTAATAATCGATACTGAAGTTGATCGAACGGAAAGTAAACAGCTGTTTTGATGACGTGTCTGTGACGTCTTTTATGCATTTTTTTCCACCTGTTTTTTTGGACTTTGAAGATGCTGACGTACTGCTGAGGTCTTTATGACGTGTTTCCACGTGTTTCGTGCACTACCGTGATGACGTCGGTGCTGCAGCTTCCGGCCGAGCTGTGGCTGCAGGTGTTCAGCTTCCTGTCATGGAGAGACAAACTGAGCGTGCGCAGCACCTGTTCCCACTTCAAACAGCTCCTGGATAAGTCCCGCCCCCTGTGGCGTGGCTTCAGCGTCACCTTGACGAACTTCTCCAGGTATAATCGGCCATTTTGGCGCAGTTTGGCTCAGAGGCACGTGGGCAGAGTATCGCTGCGCTCAGGTAAGAGGAAACAGCTGAAGGAGCTCCACACCTGGCTTCCTGCGCTCGAGGCGCTGCGATTGGACGACTGGAGGGAAGGGGGCGTGGACGAGCTCAAACTGTTCTGCCAGCTCAAGTGTTTGTCAGTCACTTCCTGTTTCACTCCCCTGAAAAGCCTTGACTTCCTGTTTCCTCTGCGTCATCAGCTGACTCAGCTCAGTCTGTGTAACCTGCAGCTCACCTGTGTGACCTCTCACCTGTTGGCGGTCGTCAGTCAGCTGACCCGTCTGACCTCTCTGGTGCTGCATCATGACGGCAGTCTGAGGGTCCCCACCCTCAGCGGCGTCCTGAATCACCTGTCGGAGCTCACGCACCTGTCGTGCACCATGGTCACCTACAAGACGCTGTCACATGACTTTTTCAGCTCCGCCCACCCCACAGGTAAACACACATGCACAGGAAAGGGAGCGCGTCCAATCGTATTAGAGAGAACTTACGCTGCGTTCGAGTTTCCTCGGAGCTGAAACTGACGTCACACCGAGTTTTCAGTTACCAAGTCGGAAAAAAGCGAAATCGGAATAACGAAAGTTATTTTAGCGCTTGTCTTGTCCGGATATGAGGCAAGCGCCAAAATAACTTTCGTAGATGTCGCCATCTTGTTTCCGCCTCCAATTTTGATTTTTTCTGACTTGGTAACCGAAACGCCGGTGTGACGTCATTTTCAGCTCCGACATCTGACCTCCGAGGAACCTCGAACACGGCGTTACGATGTCATCATGATCGATCAAGTCAGAATCATTTTTACAGTCGGTTGATTTGGCGCCCTCTGTGGGAACAGAAGAGTAATGGTAGGGGAAGGTCCCGCCCTCCTTCGCCTCTGATTGGCCAGAATTGCCAGGCTCCGGTCTGTTATTCTTTATGGCTGTGAAACGTCGTCGTCTGTCGGGTTCGGAGAATTGCGATAATTTTCTGTTTGATGTTCAGAGCCGACAGCCTGCGCTCGGATTGAGCATGTGATGATGTTTCACAGCCAATCAGAGGTGATGGAGGCGGGACCTTCCTCGGACCTCGGACTGTAAAATAACCTGTGAAGTTTAATTTGGTGGATTTAAGACGTTATTCTTGTTCAGTCTGTGACTTTAAACGACTTTAAACGACTTCACTCCTCGTTCATTAAATTTGTGTTAATTAACTTTAAAAATCTCACTAATTTGAACGGTCAGAATGTAAATATGATTTTAGTCCAAAAAGAGAGAATCTTTTTTAGGTTCAGGTGTTTTTTTGTCTTTTTTTCTCCCTCCTTTAATCCTCATTTTCTCACCTTTAAACCTGAACTTTGACCTCAGACAGGTGTGCTGATGTTTGTCCGACGGTTCCAGGTAAAGACCTCGATTGTAAAACCAGGTGTGCTGTCCTGTTGTCCACCAGGTGGCGCTCCTCTGAAGCTGTCTGACCTGCAGCTGTTGAACTACGACGCCGTGGTGACGGCGGAGGTCCTGCAGCCTCTGTCGAACCTGCACAGCCTGTCGGTGTTTCACCTGTACTCCGTACCCGGGCCCACCTGTCACCTGAGGACGTGGCTGACGTCGCTGCAGCAGCTCCGCAGCCTCAGCGTTCACGGTCAGTTCATGAACTTTGACCTTCTTTGACTTTAACCTCAGAGTTCGTTAGAATCGGGTTCAGGTGAGCCCGTCACCTTTTTGATTGGACGTCGTTCCGTTGTTCATTAATGATGTCACGATGACCTCACTCTGTCCATCCAATAGGAGGCCACCCTCTGGCGGCGTACGCTGACTTCCTGCCGTCCTCCCTCCTGAGTCTGGTGCTCTGTGTGGACCTGCAGCCTGAAGATCTTCAGGTGGTCTCCCTCAGAGTTCCTCACCTGGAACACCTTCACCTGGAGCCCTGGAGCTCCTCCTCCAACCTGGTCAGGCTCCTCCCACAGCTGTTCCCTCACCTGAGGACGCTCCGGATCAGGTGAGTCAGCGTCACCTGACCTCTGGATCCTGAATCCCGTCACAGGAAGTTAAAATGTTGTTTTTTTTCGTCTTCAGACATCAACACGTGTCGGACGCCGACCTCCTGTCCCTGCAGCAGCTGCAGCGTCTTCACACTCTCGAGGTTCTGGACTCGTTCTACAGACCCGACCCGAGTGACCCCAGCTGGGTCATCTACGGACCGAGTCCTCGCCTGCAGCAGCTGACCTCTGACCTGCAGAATCAGACCAATCACAGGGTTCGAGTCATCACCAGCTCACACAGTGACCCGCTCAGCTGTGACTGTGTCTGACCAATCACAGAGCAGCTGATGTTTTTGATCGTTATGCTGCGTTTCGAGTTTCCTCGGAATCACGTCGGAGAAGAAAATGACGAAACACCAGAGTTCGCAGCGTTTCAGTTACTGAGTCGGAAAAAAGGCAAAATCGGAGAAACAAGATGTCTACGTCTACGAACGTTACTTTAGCGCTAGCCTTGTCTGAATATTAGACAAGCGCTAAAATAACTTTCATATTCAACCTGATTTTGTTTTTTTCCAACTGGGTAACAAAAGTTATTTTAGCGCTCGCTATGCGCCTCGAAAGTCAGACGTCGGAGCTTGACTTAAATAAACTAAATTAAGCTTAAATTAACTAAACTAACTAATTAACATAACTAACCTAAACTAAACCTAACTAACCTAAATTTAACTAAACTAGTTTAACCCTAACTTAACTAATCTAAATCCACCTAAACTTAACGAAACTAAATTTTAGCGCTTGCCTTATATTCAGACAAGGTAAGCGCTAAAGTAACGTTCGTAGACGTCGCCATCTTGTTTCTCCGATTTCGCTTTTTTCCGACTCAGTAACTGAAACGCTGAGAACTCTGGTGTGACGACATTTTCAGCTCGGACCTCTGACACGGTAACCTGAACGCATTAATCTTACACATGCCTTAATGAAGCCACTGTCTTACTGCTGCATGCTGGGTAATGTAGTTTAAAACAACTCGGTACTCTCTCACCCCCTCCTTCAGTGTCTTAATGTCAATAAAGTGTTAATAAATAAATCGAAGCGCCACGAGAACCTGTCGGTGTGCTAACAGGAACCAGAACCCGCTCACTGAGTGGGTCATGTGACAGCAGCAGACTGTCCCCTCCTCTGTGATTGGTCAGTTCATGTTTTCTGTTGTTTAGACTCTGATGACCCGTGAAAATAAAACACTCTTATTACAGAAAACAAAACTTTTATTTTGAAATTACAAACATGTTATTTACAACAGAAATAAAAACTTTTCACTTTATAGAAAAAAACAAACGTCCTCTTTTCTGCGCATTTGTGCAGTCCATAATTATTCCCATGATGCATCTGTGGGCGGTCCGTGGTCACTCTGCTGTTTCACTTTCTTTCTGTTTCTTCTTCTTCTTTTTCTTCTTCGTGCTTTCGTCAGCGACCTGCAGGAACGGCGGACATTTTTATTTAAAACAGACTGAAATGTTTCACACGTCTCTGAACATCAGACCTCATGGACCTGCGAACGCTCACCTCTGTCTCAACCTCTGCTGTCGTCTCCTCTGGCTCCGCCCCCGTCTCCTCCTCCTCCAGCTTTGCTCTCTTCTCCTTCTTTTTCTTCTTCTTCTCCTTCTTCACCTCCTCCGCAGACGGCGTGTCGGGCACCGCCTCCGGCTCCTCATCGTTTTCAGTTTCCGCCCTCTTCCTCTGCGGGACACAGGTGGGGTCAAAGGTCAGAGAGACAATGACGATTCACAGCCATAAATTATAACCAATCAGAGCCCAGCACTTCTATCCAATCAGAGCAAAGGAGGGCGGGACCTTCCCCTACCATCCAAAAAAATAATAATTCTGTGGGGCGTCTACAACCAGCCACTGTGACATCATAGTCATGTGACAACAGACTGATGAGCTCTGACTCCCCCTGGTGGTCACTTTGGTGTCTGTCGTTAATTAAACATTCTCTCAGCTGATTGGTTGACAGTAAAGGTGAGTTTACCTTCGCTGTCGTGTCGCCTGGTTCCTGTGTCGGTTTAGAGACGCTGTTGACGAAGAAAAAAAAAACAGGATTAAAAACGTTAAAATGTCCAATAAGAGGACAGACGGACAGACGGCGCCCTCTGCTGTTAAAACGAGGAGACACACCTTTAATATTCCACCTTTAATCACCTCTGAAGTTAAACTGATTTATAACTAATTAACCAGTTTAATCACATCCTGTTTGACAATTGGACAATAACCAGCAGTGATGTCACCACAGGTGTTGTGACATCATCAGTGTCCTCAGGTGAGCGGCGGCCGAGCGGACAGCGCGACCGCCGGCGCTCACAGCTGAGAGTTTCTGTAGCAGACTGACTCCCTCAGAGAGCACGCCAGCGCGGTGAGGGATAACTGTCTGCAGAGCGTGAAGTGGCCCCGCCCCCTCAGGTGACTCGTACCTGTAGTCTACGTACGCGCTCTTCCAGTCGTCCGGCGTGCTGCCGTTCGGTTTCCCGCGTTTGTCCAGAAGTCCTTTCTGGATCATCATCTTCTTCTGCGACGCCTGATCGGAGAAACAAATCAAACTTTATTGATCGCTCTGAGGTCACAGCTCTGACGGCGTCTGATCGGCGATCGATGACCTCACCTTCGGTCCCAGACCCCACTTCCGAGGATACGTGTCCCTCTCCATGATGACCCTCTTGATCTTGGCGACCACGCCGTGATCGCAGGTGGAGATCACCGCGGTCGTCATGAGCGCCACAGCTGGAGGAAGAAGGTCAAAGTCATCATCACTGAACGCACTCGTGACCTCGGGCGGACAGGTGAGCGCACCGCCATCAGAAAAGGGTGATAGATAGAAGGTCACCACGGCCCGTGGGCTGCTGACGCATCTAAACTCATCATGTGGCGTCACACCTGAACAGACCACACCTGTGCGGCGCCGTCACTCACCTGTGCAGATGGCCTCGCCCTTCGTCGTGATGATGACGATGTCCTGGTTCATCTCGATGCCGTCTTCGTACCTGAGGACGCCGGGCAGCATGATCTTCGCCCCGTAACAGATGGCGTTGACCTGCAGACATGAGAGCGGCGTGAGTCACGGCTATTTTAGAGACTCAACTGTCAGCTGACTCGGACGCGGCGGCGGTGGATTAGGAGACGGCGAAGACTCACGGCGCTGTCCTTCATCACGATCCGTTTGTGGGACACCAGCAGCTTCTCCAGCGGGAAGATGACCCTCCGCAGGTACGCCTCGTCTTTGTTGTGGTCCAGCTGCCACTGAGCGTCCAGGACGTCGTGCATCGTCACCATGTGGTCCTGAAAACAAACAAACAGCTGACTGAGACCGTGCGACGCCGATGACATCAGCGGCAGCAGGCGTGACGTCACAGTGATGTCAGCAGCGTTGAGGTTCCGCGGTCCGACACGACGGCGGACTCCGAGTCTCGGCTGCAGGTTTCTGTCTCAAAGATTCATTAGCAGACCGGCACCAACCAGCGGGCCTGAACTCAACACTTTGAGGTCACTGAGGTCAGGTCAGAGGTCAACAGGAAGTCGCACTCACCTTCTCTCCCAGCACGCCGGACCGCACCCTCCGGAGCTCCTGCATCTGACCTCCGACCCCGAGCATCAGACCCAGGTGGACGCACAGAGTCCGGATGTAGGTTCCCGCCTCACAGCTCACCCAGAAGATACCTGCAACAACGAGTCATGTGACCTCTGACATCATCCAGGTGAGTGGAAGGTCCCGCCTCCTTCACCTCTGATTGGCTAGAAGTGCTGGGCTCTGATTGGTTAATTAAGACAATGTTATGTTCGATGTTCAGCGTGTGATGACGTTTCACAGCCAATCAGAGGCGAAGGAGGCGGGACCTTCCCCTACCAACAGCTGACTGAACTTCCTGTGTGACATCACCGCTCTTACCCAGCCTCCTCTCCGGGTCGTACTCGATCAGTTTACTCTCGTAGATCGTTCGGACTCTCAGCTGACGTTTCACCGCGGCGATCAGCGGCGGCCGCTGGAACAGAGCGCCCGTCAACGTCTCCAACCCCTGCAGACGTGAGAGTCAGACGTCACATGACCGATCACATGAGCAAACGGTCCATTCAGAGACACGCCCCCTCGGTTTCAGTTCATGCTCATATTTCAGTAAAACCTCGTAAACTTGATTTCAGACTGAGGAGGAACTTTGACCTTGGTTTGACCTCTGTTTAACTTTAGTCTTCAGGTGAGAGGGAGGGGCTCCGACTCTGGACCCCTAAACCCTCTGGACCCCTGAACCCTCTGGACCTCGGTCATTAACTCTCGTCTCTCTGATCGGGGTTAGCGTTAATTAGCGTTACTTAGGGTTAATTAGCGTTAGCTTAAATTCACTCGTGGCGGCGGGTCGCTCGGGGACTTACCCGGGCCAGAGCGTGCTCGCTCTCTATGGCATTGTGCAGCCGAACGATCCCCACATACTCTTTACCTGCAACACACACACAGAGAGTAGTGAGGGGGGCCGCTGGGTTTACTGTGCTCACACGCCGCCCGCCGTCGGCCCGCCGGGTGGGTGGGTGGAGACTCAGGCTACGCTTAAACCTCTGGCGGTAGAAACAGGAAATCGGAGCATACCGGCGCTCTGCTGAGACTTGACCAATCGTGTGGCTCGATCCACGCAGACGATCAGACAGCCCGTGACCTTGGGGTCCAGCGTCCCGCTGTGACCCGTCTTCTCCACCCGCAGGATCCTCCTGATCCACGCCACCACCTCGTGAGATGACGGGTTTGCGGGTTTGTCCAGGTTAATGAAGCCGGACCTGACAGGAAACAGGAAGTAGAACCACCGTCAGCCCTACGTTAGCGTGTTAGCGTCGTGTGGAGCGCTCAGAAGGCGTGGCTGACCTGACATAGTCGTGGATGTTCCTCTTCAGAGGGTTGCTGCCGTTCGGTAACGGAGTGTAGTGCGCCGTCCGGATGTTCAGTTTGTCGAAGTTCTGCAGGAAGAAGAACGTCGTTAAAATCATCGTCTTTATTATGATGCGTGTGCGTCTCGGCGCCGTCTCTAAGTCGCCGTGTATTAACCCCAAACTGACTAATTTTACTCCGACTGTCTCAGCGTCATGTGATCAGAACAAACAATCGTCTCGGCAGCCGCCGTGTCGCGTCCTTCCCTCCCTTCAGCTTCGGGTCACCGCCAGCAGAACGCCGGAGTGACACCGTCGCTGCAGCGGGGAGAGGCCCCGCCCCCAGAACGAGGGCGGAGCTACAGACTGTGACAAAAACAGCCGCTCAGAGAATGGATAAACTGGCTCATCATTTCACAGGCTGAGGAGTTTAAATTAAAGACCCTCCTGAACAGGTAGCCACGCCCACAATCTACAGGTGAGAACGCCGAGTTTACCTTCAGTAAGAGCGGCCAATGCGACGTGTCCAAGGAGGCGACTTTAGACTCGGGCTGGATGAGGAAATCTCCGCTCTGCTGGATCTCCTGACACACAAAAACAGAGGTAAATAATCATTAATTATTATTATTATTATTATTATTATAATAAAAAGAGTAAAAATAAAATAAAAAATAGAATAAAAATGACATAATAATAATAATAATAAAGGAGTAAAAATATAAAAATAATCGAAAAAACTGTAAAAATAACATAATGACAACAATAATAGTTAAAAAAGAATAAAATTGAAATAAAAATAATGATGATAATAATAATTAAAAATAATAAAAAAATAGAATAAAAAAAATAATAACAATAAAAGACATTAATTTCTTTACGCCAATAAAACAGACACCATGTTGGAGACGTTGTCGGGAGAATAAGGCCGATCATTTTCATATTTTTTGGGGATGCTCTGGTTTTATACCTGATTAAAGAAGAGTATGGAAAATATAGTGCATTTTCCACTTAGATTTGAAGTGTTATATTTGTGAAGACGACCAGGAGATAAGAAGGTCAGGAGAAAAACACAGATTTACAATCATGTTGGTGACGCTAAAAGACCGTCAGTAGAAAATGTCTAAAAACAGATGAACCAAAAACGGAGGATTTGAGGTAATTGATCGATAAATAAAGAATCAGGAGAAGCTGACTTTCTCATCTCGACTAAAAACAGAAACTTTTAAAAACTCCTGGAAAAACTGAGTTGATTTTGTGTCTCAGACTTTGTGCAGTAAAGACAGTGTGTATTATAGATTATTGATCCCCTTGGTTCAAACTTGTTCATTTGTTTATTATGTTTATTCTGTTTACCCTCCAACAGGAGAAAAGAGACAATAAAAGAGAGAGGAGTGAAAAAAGGACAAGAGTGAAAAGAGTTTGATTTTACTTCAGTTATTCTACTGAAACTTTAAGAGTTTATGTCCGACTGTGTCTCTGCTCCACCGTGGAGAAATATGAAAATAGTCTTTACAGCTGGAGATTTGATCAATAATGTAAAATGTTGATCTGTGAAATCAATAAAAAAGAAAATAAATCAAAAACACGTAAGTTTGACTCACCCCGACTTCTTCATCGCTGACTTTCTTCGTTTTCTTTTTCTTTTTAATAACTGCAGAAAAAAAACACACATGATATTAAAACAGAGAAACAAAAGCGGATAATTCTCTTCACTTAAAAGATTTTCACTAATATCGTGTTTTTTATTTCTTGTTTTTTAAAGTTTTTAGTCTCCGTTAAATTGACGTCAGAGCAGCAGCGCACGTGGCGTCTTCTTCAACACGTGGTTATTAGCATCAGGCGGCTAACTAAGAGCTAACAGCCTGTAAAAACACTTAAAACGTGGAAACGGGTGATTATTAATGACTGTTAATTCTGTCAGTTAAATAGAAATGAGTCAATAAGCTGATCAATTAAAACCGTTTAAGAAGAAGAAGAGGATGATGATGATGATGAAGAGGAAGAGGAGACCTTCATCCTGTGAAAACGCGCTTTAACCTTCACTCAGATTTATCTCCAAATATCATTATTTTACTCATTTAAACTCTACTTGTTCGCTGATTTCAGTCAGAATCTGCTTAATCTAAACGGTAATTCTGCTCCAGCTCACGTGGCTCCTGCAGGTAACCAACCTAAGGCCCACGAGCTCAAAAAACACACAAGACTGCACGAGAGAGCGCGAGACACGCGCCGAAATATCACCGCGTGAAAAATCTTAAAGAAATAAAACAGATTTTAACCCTCTGACCGACAAACTTTGATTTTAATTAAAATATGTTTTAATTTGTTTTTATCTCAACGAGGTTCTGACATGAACGGAAACAGACTTCGGTCATTTTAACGACGGTCAGTGTTAACAGGTTCAGTCTGCAAAAGTGAACCAGTTTTCATGCAAAAGTTAAAGTAAAAACAACTTTGATACTTAATAAAGTAAAATTATTAAAGTTTAAGGTGATCCAGAAAAACGTGCCGCACACTCACCATCCACGTCCGCCATCTTGAACTGAGTGACCGAGCGCAGCTGCTGCGGCTTTCTACTTCCGTTTCCTCCTTTTTCTCTACAATGAACTTTATTTACAAAACACCATTGACAAGAACAACGCCCCTAATTTCATTAAAAATAAAGTTGACATTTTACACGAAGATGAAATGTGACCAAAATAAAGAAAAAACAGGATAAAGTTTTGATAAAATATAAAACTGCTGAAGAGAGAAAAAGACAAGTTCAGAGTTTTTACACAACTCTGATTAAAAGAGAACATTAGAACAATTCTGATTAGATTTTGATGGTTTGTAAATTAAACATATTGCAAAAACAACAAACATCGACTTCTGACGGTGAAAAATTTATTGGTTAAAAAATACAATAATTATTGATATGATAACAATTTTAGCTGATTTTGAATCTAAAACCAGAGATTTGTTTAAACGTGTTCGAAGTTGGACAGAAGTAAACAGAGAGACAGATGTTACAGAGCTGAGTTTTACAGTCAGAGGTATAAATAAAAGATAAAGAGTTCATGATAAACACGATATTTCCTCTGTAGCTTTAAGAAAACCAACAAACCCTGAAGATGAGACAAAACTGTTCTGAGTTTACAAACTACAGATTAGAGGAGAGGAGATAATCCAGAGGAGCTTCAACTTTAGACGGATCAAACAGATGAGATGGTTGTTATCAGATACTTCATGGTCAAATCTTCATGTTTCAGAAATATCTCCTCTCTGCAAGAAGGAGAAACAACAAGAGGTCAAAGTTCATTCTGAGAGTTTAACCAATCAGGAGTCAGTATCTGCAGGAAAACAGTCAGTATGGAGAGCAAAAGCAGGAGGACCTCAGTCCTCCATCAGGACCTCCAGCTCCCATAGTCGGTCATCTGACCCCCGACCTCCACCTTCATCCTGATCGTCTCCTAAAAGGTCGTATCCTCCGATCGTAGCTGATCGTAACCATTCAAGTTAACGTGTCGATTTACACCGACTTCTTTCCGTTCCTCTGTGGATCGCCGGACTCCTCAGCTGATCACAAGAGTTCTATTTTTTCTGGACGCCGGAGCATGGCGGATAAATTCAGCACAGATTAACCCGTGCTGGAAAGGAAGTCGGGCACAGACACAAAATAAAACATCCGGCTTCTTTTCAAAATAAAACACTCCTTGTTTCAGGAGGATCGTATTTCACACCATGCAAACGGGCGGAGACGAACAAGTGAAAGGTTTTTAGACGTCATTTCACCCCGATGACACCATGGATGAGGAGATGCTGATTCTAGAAGTCTAGAAGTAGATTTCCTCCTCTGGAAGGACACAATCTACTGCTTATATGTCTATGTGTCTGTCTTTAGAGAGACGACTCGTTATCACTCATTTGAACGTGAATCTGCGGGTTCTTGTGATTCCTGCTGTCTGTTATCTGCCACGAAACTCACCTCACTGATGGATCTGGTAAGATTTAACAGACGGCGAAAATCGCAGCCGTTCAGGACGCGGTGAGAACTGGGGGATTTCTGGATTTCTGTCTCTGTATGAAGGTCCGCTAAGAACCGAACATCTACACTGAGTCACTGATCTGAGCGAAGAGAGACGATCTACGGAGAAACGGAAACTCCGACCTCTACAAGCAGTACTGACCTTTGACCTTGAGCCGGACCATCCTCTCCCACACAGATTTCCCGTTCACTTTGACCGCACAGACGTAGGCGCCGTTGTCGAGTACGGTGGGGTTTTTCAGGGTCAGACTCAGATCTCCGGTCTGCAGCGGGTTTTTCGTCATGGTGGTGCGGCCTTGGTAGTAGTGGTCCTGTTGGTCCGGCTGGTCCTGGCCGTCTTGGTACACATGGACCTTTTTCGTGTAAATATGGACTCCTACTTTCATAATGCTCCACTCCACAGACGCGTCCTCGGGGAGCTGAGCCACGATGAACCATGGCAGCTTCACGGTTTTGGACATGTACTCGGCCTCCACGTCCATCTCAGTCAGACCTGCAGACCACAAAACCAGTCAGCAAACAGCAGGGACTCGGACCTCAGACCTGCACCAACATCACTGACCTTTGACCCGATGCAGCACCGTCTTCTGTGCCAGGATGTAGCCCTCCCTGCGGACGGTGCAGATGTAGGTCCCACTGTCGCCGCGGCCTGAGTTACTGATGGTCACACTGAGGTCTTTGGACCGCAGGGGGTCAGAATTCATCCTGGTCTTGCCCTGGTAACACTGGTCCTGTCTGTAGGGCTGGTCTTGGCCGTTCTCAAACACGTGGACCGTCATGTTTGTGGGCTCAGAGCGCTTCCACTCCACCGTGGCGTCTTCAGGCAGCTGAGCTGATGTGACGAAGGGCAGCATGAAGGTTTTGGACCCGTCCCCGATCTCCACGATCTCCACAGGCACTGAGGGGACAAAGTTAGAGCGAGGTTTTAAAACAGGCAAGAGTGGGACGGGTCCAAAGTTCTGTGAGAGGAACAACCAAACGGGTCCGTCTGAACCCAGTGACAGCACCTCGTGTTCTGCAGTTGTGGTCCTACAGAGTTCATCTCAGAACTTCTGTAACATAGAAAGAGGAGGTTCTGACCTGTGACCTGCAGGCGGACTGCTCTCTGGACCAGGATCTGTCTGTTTCTGTGGACCGAGCAGATGTAGGTCCCACTGTCCCTGAAGCAGGGGTCCCTCAGGGTCAGACTCAGGTTCCTGGTTTTTAACCAGTCCGCCTTCATACTGGTGCGTCCGCTGTACATCTGATCATGACTGACGACATGGTTCTGGTAAACGTGGACCCTCATCGGCTCGGGGGCACAGCGGCTCCACTCCACGGTGACGTCCTCCGGCAGCTTGACCATGGTTTTGTAGGGAAGTTCAACAAGCCACTCCCCCTCCATCACCTCCACCTGTGACACTGAGAGACCGTCGAAGAGTTAATGACGCTTAGAGAAGATCCGAGTCTCAGCTGACATAAACCTCACTCTCTTAGAAACATCGGGACAAAAACAACCCAGTTTGGGTCGGTACATTTCAGCCGGACATGGTGCTGTGGACCAAGGCGGAGATGTCTGTGCTGCTGGTGGAGCTGACTGTGCCGTGGAAGGAGGGAATGGGTGGAGCCTATGAGAGGAAGAAGCAAAACACACCGACCTCGTGGCAGAGTGTTGGGAGAACGGTTGGCGTACACGACTCTTCCCAGTGGGGGTGGGCACCAGGGGTTTTGTGGGAGGCTGAACAACTCACCGACTGAAAGAACCAGGGCTGAGGGGCGAGGAGCTACACAAGGACACCAAGGAGCTGGCTGAGGAGGCGGGGCAAGGCATGGGGAGTGACCATCCCTGAGAACGGCTAGCTGAAGGGGGTGACTGGAAGACGTCCCTGTTCTCCCCCCCCCCCCGCCACCAGGAGATGTTCCGGGTTAAGGGGCGAAACATCCAGGAGTGAAGGTCCCTGCAGCCAGCAGAATGGGCACCGGTGGAGGTGCAGCAGACCTAGAGCCTGGTGCAGGTTAGAACATCTACCTGTTCAAACCATTTGGGTCGGTTCACGTCACCCAACGATCGGGTTCTTTAAACCCAACATGTTGGGTTTTTATTAAAACATTAAATTACATTAAAGCTTCAGATTTCATAAAGCGCTTTATCACTGACACAGTCACGCCCTCATGGTGGTGGTAGACTACCTTAGTAGTCACAGCTGACCTGGGGTAAGTTCACACCTACGGAGTCTCCGTCCACCACCACACAACACTCACAATCACACACCAGAGGAGGACACACACTGGGAGGGAGGTATCTTGCCCAAGGACACAACAGACAAACTTGGGATAGGGGGGAATCGAACCGCCAACCTGCCGGTCATTGGACGACCGCTCTACCTCCTGAGCTGCTGCCGCCCCTTCAGAGTTTTAGAGTTTGTAAACATTCAGCAGTTTTTCTTTTTCTACGGGTTTCTTATCAGTTCAAAGTAAACAGAACAGGACGTTGTTTCTTTCCTCCACCTCACAAAGTCATTCATTGATTAGAAATAACCCAAATAAACGGACCAACAGGCTCAACCTGAAAAAACATCCCAACATTTTTCAGTGTGTAGATCTGTCTTAGAGGATCTTAAACAACACTTCATGGGTTAAGGTTAGTGAAACGTCTTAATCCAGGATCTGTCAAGTCACCTTGTTTCATATTTGGACACACCTTTGGACCACACACACACACACACAGACACACAAACCTGAGATGGTCTTTTCCCACAGAAACACGGCGAGACCCACAGCAACAACGACGGCTCCGGCCACAACAAACAGTAGACTCAGGACCACCCAGACCTTGATGAGGACCGTGTACGGTTCTGTGGACACCGTCAGAAATGAGCTTTAGAGACTCTTGAGGTTTAAACCTCGTGAAGTTCAGACTCTCTCACTTACTCGTGACCTGTAAGTCCACGTTCTTGCGCAAAATCCCGTGTTTGGTGCTGTGGACGGTGCAGGTGTAGGTGCCGCTGTCAGAGATGCGGGGTTTGTCTATAGTGAGGGTCAAGTCTCTGTAGAAGAACCCGATGAAGTCAGCTGACAGGGATGTCCGGCCGCTGTACTGGACGTTCGGATTCGGGTCCTCGGTCCCGTGCTGCTGGATGATGGCGGGATCCAGATCAAAGCGGCTCCACACCACAGAGGTGATGTCTCCAAACCCTCCAGGTATGGTGCAGGGCAGACTGACAGACTTCTGACCCTCATACACCCACTCAGTCACCTCTTCACCCAAGGCATGCTGGGAAACTGTGAGGACATGAGGGGAAGAAACACCGTAAAGAGGAAAACCTCGATTTGGTGTAAATTAATGTTGATTCTGATCTTAGCTCTCAGTCGGCGCTACTTTTGGAGGACTTCCTGTATTAAAGGGATATTCTGGTGTAAAATTAATTTAGGGTCAAACCCACCGTAACACAAGGGCCAATAAACTTCTACTGTAGTAAAATGAAAAGGTAAAGGTGTTTTTATTGAGCCGAATTATCAATAAAATCATGATTTTGTTAACAGGTATGGATTTATGTGCTGTTGAGTTAATATATTTGAACAAGAGCACAGTAAAGTTAAATCAGCTAATTTTCCAATGAGGTTCTGTTACTGAACGGAACTACACCATGTTCTACTGAGGTTAGTACATATAGGGTCACAGACATAGTACTAGACACCAAACATCTTTTTAACTTTGACTCATTTCTTTAGCAAAGAGACTAAACACAACTCACCTACTCTCTTCCAGCAGACGCTTGTTTGTACAGAGACCTCAGGCCAGTCCATTACAGACTACAGCGGGGTGCCGCTGCTCAAGGAAGAACATTTATGACCATTTCTTTATCATTTCCTTGAAGTAATAATCACCATATTAAACATTTTACAGACGCGGTAGTTCTTCTGTCTTAGCGTCTCGGTCTGATTGTATTTCCATGAAGAAATGATCATAAATGTTCTTCCTTGAGCTGCGGCACCCCGCTGTAGTCTGTAATGGACTGGCCTGAGGTCTCTCTAGTACTATGTCTGTGACCCTATATGTCCTGTTGATGAAGTTAGGTGTTGTTCTGAGCATTATTTGTGGCTATAGAGTGGCGTTTTGGTTGGGGGCGTGGCTCTCTGTATTTCTATCCTGCGGTCGTTACTAAAGTTGGTATAACTAGAGAAGGAAGCGGTCGACAACATTCATCTCTGGAGGGGGGGTCTAACTCGGTGTTACAGTGGGTTTGACCCTAAATTAATTTTATGCTGGATTGTCACTTTAATATACAGACAAAATAAATAATAAGAATAAATAAAAACTAAGGGTACAATAGCAGCATGGTGAGTGATATTGCACTTTCTGGAGGTAGAGTGGTAGTGGTATAAAAACCAAATAAATAAAAGTACAGATAAAAAGATATATATTCTTACATACACATAATAAATAGTGAAAACAGACTGAAAACCTGATAAGAACCTGGACTTTTCCACAATGTAATCGTCAAAGAAATAGAGTCTCTGAAGATTTAACTGTTTGAATCGAAAATATGTGGAAGTTTCACTTTTTGAATTTAAGTCTGGAGAAAAATGAACTTTTTTGACATTCTAATAACTTTTCTATTCTGACCTACAGACAGTCTCGTTTTAACTTCATCTTTATGAATCTAAGTCTCTGTATATTAAACTCAGTCTGTTTATTAAACTCGGTCTGTATAGTTACAGGTCTCTCTGAAGTCTCTGTGGTTTATAATTATAGTTATATAAGCGCGATGAACACGGTCTACCTCGAACTCCTAAAACAGATCAGTGGAGAAACTAAACGGACTAAACCAGTTTTTTCTTCTTCTTCATCTGTAAAGATCTGAACTCCTCACCGTGTCCGAGGAGGATCACACACAGCAGGAACATCTCCACCAACCAGCTGATGAGGAGAAGAAGAAGAAGACCAACAACAACTCCACCACCTCTGAGACCAGACTCCGTCAGTTTCGATTCTGCTGAGAAGTCTTCAGAGAGGTCCGCACACCTGTCTCTGGTTACGCGGTTGTCTGGCCTCTAGTGGTCAAACTGGGAACTGCAGTCTCTGTATACTAAAATAATGTGAAAGAGTAAATTTCAGAACAACAGAGACGATGTTTATTGATGTTTAAGAGTCTAAATGATGGACGATGATGAGTTCTACCTGCAGACCTCTTTCTGTGGTCTCACACTCAGGTGTGACACTTTCTGCTGACCCTAACTCTAAAGGTCAAAGGTCCAGGATGTACCCGGCAATCTGAAAAACCGGTGTGTCAGGATGATCTCCCTCCTGCACCTGTCTCGACTCAAACAGGTGATGAAGGAGGTGTTCAGATCTGAAGGTGGAGCAGAGGCCACGCCCATTTCCAGACAGGTGAGACAGAGTTTTCACCTGCAGATGAGAGAGTTTTGGGGGTGTGGTCGGTCCGACACATGCCTGCTGAGGGTGTTTCTCTGTGTAGTCAGGTATGAAGGCTTGTTGTGGTTCTTCTTCTCTCAGCAGGAATCTGAGTCTGTCAGGGTCAGGAGGAATATAGAGTCTTATGTTCTTATTTATCATATTATCTTATCTACTTATTTATTTTAAATTAACAGATTTATTTTATTTTTATTTGTTTTATTTATTTTATGTTTCTGTTTTTTAATTTTATTTGTTTATTGATTTATTTTTTCAATTTATTTATATATATTTATTTTATTTAATTTTAATTTTATTTATCGGTGTCAGGTCATGTCTCTTTAACAATATATCTTAAATTCTCACTCTGTCTGTGTTTGTGAGTGAGGGAGGGTGTGTGTCTGTGGGTCCATGGGTGAGTATGTGGGTGTGAGGGTCAGGTGTTATTGTTGTTTTATTGTTGTTTAATTGTTGTTTTTTAGCCTCTGTGAGGAACTTTGAAACTACATCTTTGTCTGAAAAGTTCCATCAAAATAAAATTGACTTTGAATCATTTATATTTACGTATAATTGAAAAAGTTCTATTATAGTTTAGTGTCATTATAACGTGTCTCTCTCTCTTCAGTGTAGACTTTATTTTAGTTTGTAAAAGTTTTATTTTGAAAGAGTTTTCTACGTGTTATCAGAGGTTTTTTTAAAACCCTTTATTGCCTTTTTTATCGTATTTGATTCATACTTTTATAAACTTCTATCAAATCAATATGATCAACAAATTACTAAAAAAAAAACACCAGAATACAGTCTGATAAATGATAAGAATGTCCTATTTTAGTTTATCAGTGTCTATAAACAGTAAATGTATCAAACAAGAGAAATAAATATATTTGTGAAATTTTAAGGACATTTTGATTTTTTGTGAAATAAACATTTCAGCTTCAAAAATATGAATTTTCTGTCCATAATTTCTGGTTTCAGGCATTAAAGTGTTTCCTTTGATCTTTATTATTTTAACTTTAAATTCTACATGTTTGATTTTGACTGAAGTCAGACTCTGTGAGGCGTTCACGGACTCATCACTGCAGTTCTCATATTTCCGACGGCAGTGAAAGCATCACCATTCTCTGCTGCAGTGGTCGGACACACAGACACACACAGACACACACAGACAGAGATCAGGGTGTCGGTCAGCTGCTCTCTGTTTCACACGGTCGTCTGTTTGTTTGATTCGGTTGTTTGTCGGTTAATCGGAGAATCTCCGGTATGAACACGGAGGAGACGCAGGTGGAGCTGCAGGAGGCCGGGAGGAGCAGAGATGCTGAGGAGCAGAAGGATGCGGAGGTCCCCGCCCAGATCCCCGCGGATACCGACGCCACCGAAGCCGACGTTAGTGAGGCCGACCTGGACCAGGAGGAGCAGGAGAAGCTCCCCATGACCGGGGGAGGAGGAGGAGGAGCAGGAGGAGACCGGGGGGATGGAGCTCCGTGTGCGGGAGGAGGAGGAGGAGGAGGAGGAGCGGCGGAGAAAAACGGAGCCGTGAAGCTGAAGATCCCCGAGGAAGAGGAGGGGGAGGAGGAGGTGAAATTTACCGGACTGACCAAAGAGGAGCTGCTGAGGGTGGCGGGAACCCCGGGGTGAGAGAGAGAGAGAGAGAGAGAGAGAGAGAGAGAGAGAGAGAGAGAGAGAGAGAGAGAGAGAGAGGGGGAGACAAGGCCCCGAAATACACACAATATATACACAATATACACACAATACACTACACAATATACACAATACACACAATACACACAATATACACACAAAATACACGATATGCACAATATACACACACGCAGTAATTATACTCACAGTACTCACCCTGACTGTGTGTTTTACTGCAGTTAGTCTGAGTCTTTTTCACACACTAATATAACAACAGTCCAGGAATTAGACAGGCCCCTCTGACCCAGAACATAGACAGTATCAGTGTAGATGTCTGAATCATTAAAGAGTAAAGAGATGAAAACACTGAGGAGTTTAAACCTGCAGTCTCTCTACTGTCCATCAGGGGGCAGTCTAACCTCAGTGAACCTCCTCCTAACGTAGATATAGATCACTCAGACTCTGAGAAAAACGTAGATATAGATCACTCAGACTCCTGTGTGTGTCCTCAGGTGGGTTCGGACCCGTTGGGCCCTGTTGGTGGTGTTCTGGCTCGGTTGGTTGGGGATGTTAGCTGGCGCCGTCCTCATCATCCTGCGGGCGCCTCGCTGCAGAGACCTCCCCCCCACCAACTGGTGGAACGACGGCCCGCTGTACCGGATCGGGAACATCCAGGCCTTCACCGAGACCCGGAACCTGAAGGGTGAGAAAGAACCACAGATGTGAGGACCAGGGGGACCGGAAGACCCGGTCTGAGTCCCTCTGCTGACCAAGCGTCTGTTCAGGAAACGAAACCTTAAAAACGTCCAATCAGGTCCCAGACTTCTGCTGAGTCAGAGTGTCAGAGCGAGCGGGACGACGGGGTCAGGGGTCAAATCCAGGACATCTAGTCTGTTCTGTTCTATACTGTTCTATTTTATTATATATGAAATAATCAATAACCCCGCCCCCTCGGTTCAGGTGTGGAGCAGAAGGTCGGCGCTCTGTCTCAGCTGAAGGTCCGGGGTCTGGTTCTGGGTCCGCTCCACGTCGCTCCTGCAGATGACGTTCTGGGTCTGAGGTTCGAGGAGGTCTCTCCGGAGAACGGGAACCTGGAGCAGTTCAAAGGTCTGGTCCAGGCGGCCCACAAGAAAGGTGAGGAGCCGGTCCTGAGTGGACCTGAGTGGACCTGAGTGGACCTGGGGGGGGGGGTCTCTGAGGTCCTTCAGGACTCTCTGACTCTCTGGGTTTTGGGTCTCTGCAGGTCTTTCTGTGGTTCTGGATCTGACTCCGAACTATCAGGGATCATCTGGACCCTGGTTCTCCAACACCAGTGTGACCGGCGTGGCCGAGAGGCTGAAGGTGAGTCTGTCCTGATGGTGGGCGGGGCTGTGGGCGGGGCAGCAGGGGCCGCCGTCTCTGACCCTCTCTCTCTGTCTCAGTCCGCTCTGGTGTTCTGGTTGGATCTGGGCGTGGACGGCGTGCAGCTGTCGGGGGTGGAGCGTGTTTCTACCGTGGTGCCGTCTTTGTGGGCCGACATCCGGGCCATCGTCCAGAACGGGACGGAGCAGCAGTCCCAGAAGAGGTCAGAACCGTTTAGGTGGACCAGGTCGGGTCAAACCGGGTCTCATGGATCCTCCTGAAAAGACGTTTCCGTTTGTTTTTTCAGGGTCCTGATGGGCGTCACCGAGCGCTCCACGCCTGAAGACGTCTCCGCCCTCCTCTCCTCCACCGGGGTCGACCTGCTGGTCTCCAGGGTCCTCCGTCCGGGCAGCACAGACGCCATGGAGCACGCTCAGTCCGTCCAGCTGCTGTACTCGTCCCACAATCAGAGCGAGCTGACGTGGAGCCTGGGGGGGCGGGACCAGGGTCACCTGGCGTCACTGGTGGGCCCGGCTCTGGTCCGGCTGAACCTGCTGCTGCTGCTGACGCTGCCGGGGACGCCGGTGGTCAACTACGGCGACGAGATCGGACTGATGGACGAGGTGAGACGGAGCGCCGACGAGTTCGAGTTTCAGTCTGATTTAATTTTTAAAATGAACTTTTTTAGATTTTTATATTTTTATCTGGTAACTTTTAGTGAATTTTTTTTTAATTTAATTTTAATTTTAACTTTTTTGTTTAGATTATCGTTGTTGTTGTTTTGAATATTCTCACTAGTTTTGTTTGTTTTCAGTTTATTTTTGTTGTTTCACACGTTCAAAAATAAGAATAAAATGAAAAAAATTAAAATGAAATAAAACATTTGCTTTTATAAATAAAATATTGATTAGATAAATACTTCTTATAAATATTAAAAAATAGTTTAAGACATTTTGAACTTTTTTTTGTTATTTCGTCATTTTTCTGTAAAGCGAAGTTACCGACGTCTTTGAGTTTCACTTCGATAAAATTTTTAAAAATTCACTTTTTTCATATTTTTATGTTTTTATGTGTTTAATTTTCAAAAAGTTTCAGAAATTTTTGGGGGAAATATTTAAAAAACATTTAAAAATGCTTCTTATTTTTTGTTCAGGGGACCTTTAATCCCTGAAAGACTGACAGAAAATATAGATATAAAAAAGATGAATAAATGTTTTTTTTTTAATTTGTCTATTTTGTTACCGGGAACTACAGATCTTTACAAAAGTGTGACTTTAGATTTCTACTTTTCTAATTATTAAAAAATAATTAAAATTTTTGTCGAAACATTTTGAATGTTTTTTTCGTTTGAACGTGTTTTTCGTCATTTTTCTGTGAATTCACGTTCTTCTTTCTTCAGTTTTTACCAACATCCACGTGACGACTGTTTGATTTAAAATATTTTAAAATTCATTAAAATTAATTAAAACACGATCCACCTCACTGCAGTTCCTCTCACTTCCTGTAGGGGGCGACTCTTGTTCTGATTTCCTGAATGATTCAACGTCTCAGTCATGATTATTAATTAACGCCGATTAACCTCCTCGCTGTCTGACTGACCTTTGAACTGTCTCTGTTAAAGGGCACCATGTTTCCCAGAATGCTTTGGGACTCTGACGAGCAGCTGAACGGGACTCTACAGGTAAGCAGGTGAACTACGGAGGCCCTGAAGGTTCAGCGCCGCGTCAGTTCATAAGACTTTGTTTTTTTGTTTTTGGCGTCTGTTAGAAGAGTTTGTGGCGTTGACCTTCAGGGCCACCGTACCGCCACACCGCCACCGTTCAGTGTTTCAGAGTCGGTGTCGGTTCTGATCATCTGTCCGTCTCCTCAGGAGGAGCGCGCCGAGCGTCTGTCCACTCGAGACTTCTTCTGCACTCTCAGTAACCTGCGGGGGAAAGAGCGCTCCCTGCTGTTCGGGGACTTCCTGCTCCTCTCTAACTCCTCCTCCTCGCTGGCGTACCTGCGCGTCTGGGATCAGAGTCAGCGCTACGTGGCGGCGTTTAACTGGGCGGAGGAGCCGGCGGTGCTGCAGCTGAGCGGGGCGGAGCTTCCTCAGCAGGCGGCGGTCGTCCTCAGCACCAACAGCAGCGCTCTGCCCGCCGACAGCAGCGTGGACCTGAAGAAGGTGTGGCTCGGCCCCGGTCAGGCCGCGCTCCTCAAGTTTCCCTACACTGGGTAGAGTTAAGACCGACTGAAGCTTCATTCAGAACCGGGTCACCTTCAGAACCAACATTCAGGTTCTTCTGAGGAGGTTCTGGTCCAGAGATGATGATGATGATGAAGAGAAAAGATCAGACATGAGGTGAAAACAGAGTCTGAGTGAAGCTTCAGGAGAACGGATCTATCTGTTCGAGTTCTGTGTCGTTAAAAAAATCTATAAAAATCTGTTTTTCTGTTTTTCTGTGACGAAATAAAATCAATTCAAACATTTAAAGATCGACGTTTCTGTTAATCTGAGAGTCTGAAAAAAAGTACAAAAATTAAAAAACAAGGTCGAGGAGTTCAGAGGATCAAAGGTCACCGACATGAGACATCTGCCCGATTCTAGATCTATAACAGATCTATAACTCTGAGGTACACATCTATGACTTTGAGTTCTAGATATATAATTAGATCTAGTTGTAAATCTAGAACTAGATCTATGACTTTGAGGTACACATCTATGACTAGATCTATTTACAGATCTATAGTTATAGATCTATAACTAGATCTAGTCATAGATCTAGCTTATAACTTATATATCTATAACTTAATTACTACATCAGTCATTACATCTAGTTGTAGATCTATAACTACAGATCTATAGCTTATATATCTATAACTAGATCAATAACTACATCTATCATCAGTTCTAGTTACAGATCTATAACCTAGAGGTAAAGAGTGCAGATCTTTTCAACTCCAGAGTCCAAAACTGTCTTCAGTGATCGCTCCAGAACTCTCTAATGGACCTGCTGCAGTCAGAACCACAGACGGGTCAGAACCACAGACGGTCAGAACCACAGACGGTCAGAACCACAGACAGGTCAGAACCACAGACGGACATCTTTAAAGTTTCTGTCCTCACAGACGTCATCAGGACAGACGATGAATGATGAAGCAGACTGACCTGAGACTGACTTCAGTTCTCACTCTGTCCTGCAGGGGGCAGCAGCAGCACACTGAACCTCTGAGCACCAGGAGGACCGTTAGAACCATTAGAACCGGGCCTCTGAAAACAAGAAACGGATCATTAAGTTCATCATCAGGTCTGTTAGAGAGACGAAACAAAACAGGTCGACTGAAGAAATGATTTTATCATTAATTACCAACGATCAATTATTAATCAATATATGAAATAATATAATTATTAATAATTAATAATTTTTAAACATGAAAAAAACCTCCTGGACTCCAAACCTCAGAATCAGCTGATCTGTTGAATATTAAATATTATATTAATATAAATTTCTGATTTTTAAAGTTGGAGCTGATTTGAACAGAGACGTTCATCCTCTGGGGAGCAGGAGTGAGATCAGAAACACAGGGATGTCTCACTCTGTCGGGTTTTCAGGACATTATGTCCTTCTGTTTGTCTGAGAGTGATCTATGTTAATGCGTGTCTATGAGAGTCTGATCTACATTCAACATTTCTATCAGTTCACCTCCAGAGTTTCTTCTTCTGCGTCTTTTTAAATCAGAGTCTCTTTACTCCCTCACCTGATCACCTGAACAACAGCAGACGGTTCATCAACGCCGTCGCCATGACAACAGCATCCCTCCACCCCGCCCCCCCACCCTCCTTTATTTCAAAGTTGATCGACAGAAACACGACATCGATCCGAAACATCCAACCAGAGCTCCTCATGTTCTTCTGAGGAGACCATGAATTAAAGATGGCTGATCCTGGCGGAGCGCAGAGACGCCGCGGCGGCCTCTGATGGAGCGCGGAGACGCCGCGGCGGCGGCCTCTGATGGAGAGCAGAGACGCTGTGGCGTCCTCATGAATAACGCAGCCGCCCTCAGGTGGAGGACAGGTCATCAGAATCATCTGGTTTTTAATCCATGTTTCATTTTTCACAGCTGATCATAAATCAGTCTGAGAGACGCCGTGACGACCATCAACGCTGAGCAGGGTCACCACGACCCGGGTCATGGCGGTCATGGCGGTCCGGTGACACTGAGCCCCCCCCCCGGCGGCGTGTATTATTGATAAAATGGCGGTGCAGATCTCGCCTCATCAATAATTCACACAGACGTTGATTTTCGTTCAGATTTCCTCTGATGATGTTTTTTTTTTTTTTTAGCTCAGATGAACCACAAAGAGAAGGTCAAAGGTCAAAGGTCAGAGGTCAGAGATCTTTGTCTTACCCGGGTTTGTGAACGCCCACGCCGTCTCCATGAGTTCAGCCCCTACAGTGGGTGTAAACGACCATTAAAGGTCATTAAAGGGCGTGGCTAACTTTAAAGGGGAGGTCCAAATATAACGTCGCACCATGAAACACGACGAGTCAGAGCGACGGAGGAGAGAAGGAGGAGGGGGATGAGGAGGAGGAGGAGGTGGCGGCGTTGGCGTGTTCTCTGCAGACTCTGAGATCATCTGTTCAGATCTGACTAATGGCCTGGTCCTGGTCCTGGTCCTCTTGGGGGACCGTCCTGAGCTCCATCAAAGAGGTCCTGGAGGACACTTTATTCTGAAAATACTCGCCGCCACTTCCTCTTCGTGTTCCAGACGAGCTCCTCCATTAAAAGCCTCCAGACTCACCTGAGGACTCGGTCAGACATCTTTGGTCTCAGGTGAGTTTCCTTAATGGACCCGAAGTCTCGTCTGAACAGGATCAGAACTTCATCACAGCTGAGCTCTTCAAGGACACGAGGACGAGGACACGAAGACGAGGACACGAAGACGAGGACAGGAAGACGAGGACGCGAAGACGAGGACACGAAGACGAGGACGAAGACGAAGACGACGACACGAAGACAAGGACACGAAGACAAGGACACAAAGACGAGGACATGAAGACGAAGACGAGGACACGAAGACAAGGACACAAAGACGAGGACATGAAGACGAAGACATGAAGACGAGGACACGAAGACGAGGACACGAAGACAAGGACACGAAGATGAGGACGAGGACACAAAGACGAAGACACGAAGACGAGGACACGAAGACAAGGACACAAAGACAAGGACACAAAGACGAGGACACGAAGACGAGGACACGGAGACGAGGACACGAAGACGAGGACACGAAGACAAGGACACGAAGACGAGGACGAGGACACAAAGACGAAGACACGAAGACGAGAACACGAAGACAAGGACACGAAGACGAGGACACAAAGACAAGGACACGAAGAAGAGGACACGAAGACAAGGACACGAAGACACAAAGACAAGGACACGAAGACGAGGACACAAAGACAAGGACACGAAGACGAGGACACAAAGACAAGGACACGAAGAAGAGGACACGAAGACAAGGACACGAAGACGAGGACACGAAGACGAAGACGAGGACACGAAGACAAGGACACGAAGACGAGGACATGAAGACGAGGACACGAAGACGAAGACGAGGACACGAAGACGAGGACACGAAGACAAGGACACAAAGACAAGGACACAAAGACGAGGACACGAAGACGAGGACACGAAGACGAGGACACGAAGACAAGGACACAAAGACAAGGACACGAAGACGAGGACACGAAGACAAGGACACAAAGACAAGGACACAAAGACGAGGACACGAAGACGAAGACGAGGACACAAAGACGAGGACACGAAGACCAGGACACGAAGACAAGGACACGAAGACGAGGACATGAAGACGAGGACACGAAGACGAGGACACGTAGACGAGGACACGAAGACGAGGACACGAAGACGAGGACACAAAGACAAGGACACGAAGACGAGGACACGAAGACGAGGACATGAAGACGAGGACACGAAGACGAGGATGAGGACACGAAGACAAGGACACGAAGACGAGGACACGTCCGTCTGTGTCCAAAGAAGAACATAAATCAGCTGTTTCCTCTTTGACCTTCAAACCAACACTTTGTCAGTCGCCCCCTGAGTTTGAGAACTCTGATTAAAACACACAGATAATGTGATTGGAATCTGATTTTCTCTACCATGTAACCAGCGTAGTCGGAGTATGATCGGTTACAGGCCACGCCCCCTGTAACCCCGTAACAAACCCCCAGAGTAGAGGAGTAGCGTTGGTCTCCTCTTTAGAAAAAGTAGCGCGTCCATCATGTCGGACAAAAACAACGCTGTACGATGCTCCATCTTCTTGTTTCTCCAAAATGCCCAGCAGCAGTTGTAGACACTTCTGACGTCTGAAAAGACCCACATCGCCCCCTAGTGTTGAGGAGGAGGACACGTTGATTAAAGTCGGATTAAACTGAGACTGTAGACGCTCTGAGTGTTGACTCTGATCTGTGGTCTCTGTTTCTCGTTACCTGTTCAGGTTAAAGATACTCGTCCACACCTCCACCTGTTTCCACCTGTTTCCTGAGAATCGACTCTTAAAGCAGCAGATCTTGTTTTGAACCTGCGAACAGAATCATCTGGAGAACCTTCAGTCCTCCTCGGGTTTGGGATGACGTTAAACACGCCGATATTAAAGCCGCAGATAAACTTCCTCACTGGAGGTTCTGAACAGATTCTGGGAGCGTCTGCAGAGAACTGTGAGCACAAACGAGGAGAGAGGAGCAGGAGGAGGAGCAGGAAGAGGAGCTGGATCATCTCTTTAGTTCTCGTATTGATTAAAGTTTGGAGCCTCCGGCTGTTTGAGAAGACTCCCAGACCGAGCAGCGCCGCAGGAAACTCAGATATTAATGAGAGAGGAGAGGAGAGGAGGGAGGAGCTGAGGAGGAGAGAGGAGGAGAGAGGAGAGAGGAGAGGAGAGGAGAGGAGAGGAGGGGGGGGGAGAGGAGAGGAGAGAGGAGAGGAGAGGAGGGAGGAGCTGAGGAGGAGAGGAGGAGAGAGGAGAGGAGAGGAGAGGAGGAGAGGAGAGGAGAGGAGGAGAGGGAGGAAATGAGGAGGAGAGAGGAGAGGAGAGAGGAGGAGAGGAGAGGAGAGGAGGGAGGAAATGAGGAGGAGGAGAGAGGAGAGGAGAGGGGAGGAGGAGAGGAGAGGAGAGGGGAGGAGAGGACAGAGGAGGAGAAGAGGAGAGAAGAGGAGAGAGGAGAGGAGAGAGGAGAGGAGAGAAGAGAGGAACTGAGGAGGAGAGGAGAGGAGAGAGGAGAGGAGAGGAGAGGAGAGAAGAGAGGAACTGAGGAGGAGAGGAGAGGAGAGGAGAGGAGAGGAGAGAAGAGGAGAGGAGAGGAGAGAGGAGAGGAGAGAAGAGGAGAGGAGAGGAGAGAGGAGAGGAGAGGAGGAGGTGCTCTGCTGTAATTAAAGAGTGAAATTAGAGTCACAGAGGAAGAGACAGAAGAGAGAAGATCAACAAAGAGAAACCTTTAAACCAGGACTATGAGAGTCCAGAATCCTCTCACCGAACGACTCGTTCAGGTTTTAGATAAATTTACATTCAGAATAAAAAATAAAATTAGAACAGAACCCGCAGATTCACGTCCAATCAACAAGTTGTCTCTCTAAAGACAGACACATAGACATATAAGCAGTAGATTGTGTCCTTCCAGAGGAGGAAATCTACTTCTAGACTTCTAGAATCAGCATCTCCTCATCCATGGTGTCATCGGGGTGAAATGACGTCTAAAAACCTTTCACTTGTTCGTCTCCGCCCGTTTGCATGGTGTGAAATACGATCCTCCTGAAACACGGAGTGTTTTATTTTGAAAAGAAGCCGGATGTTTTATTTTGTGTCTGTGCCCGACTTCCTTTCCAGCACGGGTTAATCTGTGCTGAATTTATCCGCCATGCTCCGGCGTCCAGAAAAAATAGAACTCTTGTGATCAGCTGAGGAGTCCGGCGATCCGCAGAGGAACGGAAAGAAGTCGGTGTAAATTGACACGTTAACTTGAATGGTTACGATCAGCTACGATCGGAGGATACGACCTTTTAGGAGACCATCAGGATGAAGGTGGAAACTTCTGTTGGTCTGTTCTGGATCTGATGGTACCCCCCAGTCAGAGACCAGACTGTTAAGGTGTTCATTCCCTCCTTATAGCAGCTCTACACAGAGTCAGGTGAAGGTTCAGGTCAGAATCAGTCTGAAAAAACACAAAGGAAACAAAGAGAAAAAAAAACAGGTTATTCTTCGTGCTGCTGACAGAGTTTCATGAGAGGGTGACGTGTGCGTGCAGAAAACTGTTTCTGAAAGGGAAAATTAACATGAATAAGATCAAATACAGACAAAAGAAGAAACAACATTTACATACAAACAGAAGGAGAGGAGAGGGGAGGAGAGGAGAGAGGAGAGGAGAGGAGAGGAGAGGAGAGGAGAGGAGAGGAGAGGAGAGGAGAGAGGAGAGGAGAGAAGAGAGGAGAGGACGACTCTGGAGTCTGAGGCTCAGGACTCCAGCTGAGGGGACGTGATGTGGGATGGCACCGCCCCCTGAAATGAAAACGGTCAAAATCAGAGCCGGCCCGAACCTCAACGGGGCCCTCAGCAAACTGTGATTTTGAGGCCCTCTATTTCTGCCAATAATATTGATTATTGATCAGTCACACACCTTCACAAATGTCTTTGATTAACATGCAGACAGACCTTTATTTTGGCGGTTTTTCTCTTCTTCCTCTTTCCTTTCTCGGCTCCTGAAAGATTCGTCCTTTTTTAGCGACACTGTTACCTGCTCTTTAGACGCTCAGTGACCATTTCACAGGAGGAGGAACAGGACGGGGGCGGAGCTTAGTAAGAATCATCGGCCTATCAGCAGCAGCACTAAAATGTTTTTACTTAATTTTATTTTTACAATAATACATTTAGTTGATCAGACAGAAAGAATCACTCAGACATGCAAAAAAAAAAAAAATATATTGCATTTCTTTTTTTTTTTTTTTGCTCTTGGGTGCCCCCTACAGGCCGCGGGGCCCGAAGCAGGAGCTCACTTCTGTCTTGGCCGCTCTGGTCAAAATGGTCGATGAATGTGGAAATATTACTGCGATTTTAACATTAGAAATATAACATGGGGGGGGGGGGGTCCTCACTAACTGTGGGCAGCTCATCGAGCCATACACACGCACACACACGCACACATATACATACCGGCACCCCCCCCTCCAGCGTCTCTCATTCCCCTCTAAACTCTACACAGCGGTACTTTCTTCTCTGTTGGATCACAGAGTCACTTAAGTTTTACTCTCAGCTCTCTCAGTTCACTTCAACATTCACTCACACTGATATTCATCCCTTCACTTACTTCCGTCCACTCACGCCATCATGCCGGATCATGTTTCCAAACGAGGAAACAGAACACGGGATTTCCGGGTGTAAAATAGGTGTGTATGGAGGGTCAAAGTGGTCACATGATCCAAGAAAAAAATGATTCCCTTGTTGTTTGTCATGAATCCCTAAAAGTTAAAGCTCCACTCATTTGTCTTCAAACCTGATAAAAACTTACAGAAAAAGGTCTGAAGGTTAAAAATAGTAAAAAAAAGAAAAAAAAAAAAAAAGTTTAAATGTGAACAGATTTTTTTTTTTCTAAACTTATATAGTTAGTAACGCCCACTGGGAGGGGCTAGAGGGTTTTAAAAGAAGGCTGTCTGAGTCTTTCTGTGAGTCTGGAGTTTGTTTTTATTGAAGGTAAACGAAGAACTGACTTTTTTATGTTGCTGTTGTGTTTCTGACTTTTTTTTCTTGAGTTATAGTCAAAATCCTGTCTTTTTTAACTAGGGTTTGACCATTTTTTTCCTTCTACCTTAGAAGGTCGGCTGTAAATGAATATCATAATCGTCATATTTTCCCGATATATTCTGATTCTTTTTTCGCTATGTTACGATCGTTTGAGCGAGAACGCTAACCCACCATGTGCACTGTCAGCTGAACAAAATATCAGTCCCAAACGATAAAATCCACCATCACCCGGATTCTTGTTCAAAACTTGACAACTGCTGAGGCGAACAAACGCTGGTCCAAAACGACAGCGAGTTAGGAGGTACTGAGCGCCATGAGGGCCGGCGGACGTGATGAGGGCCGGCGGTTTAATGATGATTTCAGTATAAATCCTGACGTCTTCACCGCCCTGTTATTTCTTACAAATGTGTTTCACTGTGTTAATTTTTCTCACAGGCCTCAGATGGAAACGAGACTTTTTGCAGTTTTCTTCGCAGTGACCTCAGTTCCTGTTTATAAATGTCCACAGGAAGTAAAGCGGACAGAGAGACGTGGTTCGAGCCTCAGATTTCCTCTCAGTCGGAACATCTCTCCCTCAGATTTGACGTGAGTTTCTCTCTCTGAATGGATAATGAGCGCTGACAGTCTTCAGGAGTTTCTATAAAAGGAACAGAGTGAGACATCTTTCCTCTCTCTGTTCCCGCCTCACCCAGGAGACCCGCGAAAAAAAGGACATCACACACGTGCGCAGTGGGGGCTCGCCGCCTACAGGCTCCTCTTGTCTCGTGAGGGATGTTTTTTTTTTTTTTTTTTTTCCAGAAATCAGCAGCTCGTGAAGGTTCGCGCGGCAGATTCCGCTTAACGTCAAGTGAGTGTCAGTAATAGAGGTTGTAGCCGGAACCGAGTGTATGTACATTTCAAAATAAAAGCACAGAATCTGAACATGATTTTAACCTTTTATCCTAAAACTGGATATTTTATTTATTCTAAAGAGTTTGTAAAATAATTAATGTGTTAAATGATACAGAGAGATCAGGACATCTGTTTTATTTTTGGTTTTAATTTGTCAGGAAAATGTTGGTCATGTAACCTCTGAATAAGATATTTGTGTTTGAGTGAACAAAGAGTAAACTGAAAATAAGTCAGAGAGAAATGTATCAATAAATTAATAATAACTTTATCAATAAAGCACATTGAACAAATGTTTACATTGATTTGAGAGACAACTCAGAAGAAATGATTATTTAATAAACAGCAGAGGAGAAATAAATCATAAATCAGAGAAAACATGAGGCCAAAAATATTCAGTCAACAGCATTTTAATAAGGACAGTGAAGAAACAGAAGACAACATCACCACAGAGTAAAAACAGATTTAAAGATGAGTGATACAAATAAACTAACCAAGAACTAAATGAATGAATGAATGTGTAAATAGATTAAATAAACATGATTAAAGACATTTAAGGAAATGATCAGCTGAGGACTTGGTTTGAACAAAAAGAATAAAATATGAGTTTCAACAAAGTGAATTCATTAAGTGAAAATTAAGAGTTATTTAAAATAGTAGAAAGTATTTAAGAAAGATCCACATGTAACTTAAGTCTTTAGTGTCTTTCCTCTTAATTATTGTGATAATTATCTTTATCAGACTCTCTACTAACCTCCTTAGAAAAACGTTGAAATATATTTATTCTTCAGTTCCAATTTTAACAAATGTAGACTCTCACCTGTTTAACTGGTTTTGTAAGTTTTTAAGTTGAAGCAGGTTAATTTTGTAAATCATTAAAAAATAATAAAATTAGGAGACATTTAAACAAGACTCAGTGTATGATTAAGGTATGTTGTTTCACTGGTGTAAATTATACATGAATAAATAAAAATCTCAGCTATATCACCAATCTGCCTAACAGTTATGACAAACACATTTTTACTTTTTAAAGATGTTTTTTTGTCTCTTATACAATAAAATTGTTTGTTGCCTCTTTTTTCTTTTGACCTGAAATAAATAATTTCTTACCCTGTTATTTTTTGTGACAGTAAAAGTTGGTTTAATTTCACATTTGAAAAGTTTCTCATTTTTAATCCAGCGTCAAATCAATGTTTTATTTTGAAGTTTTCCTCCCGGAAGCCGTGTCCATGTCCACTCCTCACCGCCGTGACTTTACCGCTCGGTTCGCTCAGTGACGTCTCTCACCGGTGAAAACCTCCGTAGAGTCGGCTGGACTGACCGCGTCTCTGCCTTCTCATTCGCCGGAGCTTAGAGCAGCATCACGGCACCACGGAACCCGGATTGTCGCCTCTCCTGCCCGGCCTGGAGGGCCGCGACGAGCCGCTAACAGTGAGGACGGGACACGGAGCGGACACCGCTTCTCCTCCGAGGATGATGGATGTAACCCCGGCACCGATTCACGGACACGGAGCCCGGTGGACACGGCGGAGGAGCAGCTGGGACTTGTGAGCATCCTGCCGGTCAACGACGGAGGCTTTTCCGTGATCCCGAATCTTTTTTTCTGCAATGTCACCGACAAGGAGACGCGGCTGAGCCACCTGCTCCACTGACCGCGTCAACTCTTCCGCACGGTTTAACGTCAGCTCCGGTATGAGCCGAACCGGACCAGCCTGTCACATCTGACCGGGGTGAAGCGGGGGTGGTGGCGGCGGGCTGCTGGCGGGGACACGTTCGGATTTTTGGATGAGAACCGGTCACCGGGCCGGATTCGGTGCGGAGGGACGCCGGCCGGAGCAGAGGAGGAGGCGAAGGAGGGAGGAGCGGCAGCGGCAGCGGCGGCTGCGGGCAACCGAAGTGACGACCTCATCCCCGGGGGGAGAGAAGCAGCGAGGCGGCCACAGGAGGATGTGAAGATGGGTTTAGTTTTCGGTCTCCTGTGGCTGTTTACCGGCTTCCTGCAGGGCGTGCACGGACAGGGCGTGTACGGTAAGGACGTCACTAACGTAAAAAAAAAAAAAAATGTTGTTTTTTAAATTAGAAAATGTAACGTGCGTACTAACGGCCGCACCGCAGCACGAGCAGCCCGGAACACCACCCACACCGAGTGACCTTGTGAGGGATTTAGCGTGTAGGCACCGTGTGTGTGTGTGTGTGTGTGTGTGTGTGTGTGTGTGTGTGTGTGTGTGTGTGTGTGTGTGTGTGCAGTCATGTCACATCCATGCCCGGCCTGAAGGCACAACAGGTAGGCTGCTGCACACCAACACACACCTGTGAGCTGCTGCCCGGTGATGCTCCTGCAGCAGAGTGTGTGTGTGTGTGTGTGTGTGTGTGTGTGTGTGTGTGTGTGTGTGTGTGTGTGTGTGTGTGTGTTCCTGACGCCATCATGGTTGGTGGTGTTTGCAGTGGAGCAGGGCTGCAGGTGTGTTCAGGGTCTGTGGGACAGCTGAGTGTTTTAATGAGCAGCGGCTGACCTTTCCCTCTCTGACATTATGCTGATTTATTCCTCCTGTTACTGTAGCTCTCTCTCTCTCTCTCTCTCTCTCTCTCTCTCTCTCTCTCCTTCGCCGCTCTTTAACGCCGGGACGCCGCTGACATGTGCGGACGCCGCTCTGGGCTGATTTTACATTTGAATATTTCTGAGCTCATGATTAGCATCTCTGTGATTCTCCGTGTGACTTCTTGAACAGACAGCAGAGTCCGGGCGCGCTCACGGTCTTTCCTCATCTGACCTCAACTCTGGAGGCGCCGATAACACCTCAACAACCTCCATGCAGGTGGCGTCCATGGATGTGGTTAAAGGACATCCTGGCGTAAAACTAATTTAGGGTCAAACCCACCGTAACACCGAGTTAGACCCCGCCTCCAGAGATGAATGTTGTCGACCGCTTGCTTCTCTAGTTATACCAACTTTAGTAACGACCGCAGGATAGTAATACAGAGAGTTACGCCCCCAACCAAAACGCCACTCTATAGCCACAGATAATGCTCAGAACAGCACCTCCTCCGACTTTCTTGGATGGGGGCTGGGCTGTGACCTTTATGGGCGGGGATCACGCTAAAGAGCGGTGGATTTAACCCTTTTTGGATTTTTAGCTAATCATAAAAAAACAAAACAAAAAAACAAAAAAAAAAAACAAAGTTGATCAGATTCCAGAGCTCCAAAAATCAGCTTCTACTCTGTTCTTGTCTAACTCTGGACACTTGATGATGTCACAAAGTTGCGGAATTCTGCCTCCCTTTATGATGTCATGTTGTGATGACAACGTGTTCTCTTGAGTAGTGTTCCGGAACAATCAGAAGAAAGTGGGCTTTAAGGGAGGGGGCGTCTTAAAGGGATAGGCGTAAAATTAATTTAGGGTCAAACACACTAGAACACAAAGTTAGACCCCGCCCTCCAGAGATGAATGTTGTCGACCGCTTGTTTCTCTAGTTATACCAACTTTAGTAACGACCGCAGGATAGAAATACAGAGAGCCACGCCCCCAACCAAAACGCCACTCTATAGCCACAGATAATGCTCAGAACAGCACCTAACTTCATCAACAGGACATATAGGGTCACAGACATAGTACTAGACACCAAACATCTTTTTAACTTTGACTCATTTCTTTAGCAAAGAGACTAAACACAACTCACCTACTCTCTTCCAGCAGACGCTTGTTTGTAGAGAGACCTCAGTCCAGTCCATTAGGGACTGCAGTGGGGTGACGCAGCTCAAGGAAGAACATTTATCCCCCAACTTTCACCCAGAAGTTGAGGGATAAGTTGCTTCAAGAACGTCATCATATCCTTACCCTCACTTTTCTCAGGAACGTGAAGAAAACGAAGGTCTAAGGAGCGGCTTCTATTGTCACCATCATCAGGTTCATCCTCATTTGAGCCGACTCTTTGTTGGAGCTCGGACACTTGATCACCCAGTGGGGATGAAGATCCTTGTATTTTGTCCACAACACGATGGATTGACTCAAAATTCATGTCAAAGTGAGTCTTCAGATCCACTTTGTCACGTTCAACGGCGTCCCAGATTGTTTGTAGAGACACTTCAGTTCCAGCCGCTGCAGAGAGTAAACGTGCTGATTTCAACACTTCTTAGTTCACTGGATTCCCAACCGATTTCAGATCAAAAATAGGAGTAAACCAGCCACTCATATTAGTCACAAATGAACCATTTAATGAGGAAATCTGCGTCACCCCGCTGTAGTCTGTAATGGACTGGCCTGAGGTCTCTCTACAAACAAGCGTCTGCTGGAAGAGAGTAGGTGAGTTGTGTTTAGTCTCTTTGTTAAAGAAATGAGTCAAAGTTAAAAAGATGTTTGGTGTCTAGTACTATGGCTGTGACCCTATATGTACTAACCTCAGTGGATCATGGTGTAGTTCTGTTCAGTAACAGAACCTCATTGGAAAATTAGCTGATTTAACTTTACTGTGCTCTTGTTCAAATATATTAACTCGACAGCACATAAATCCATACCTGTTAACAAAATCATGATTTTATTGATAATTCGGCTCAATAAAAACACCTTTACCTAGAGAAGCAAGCGGTCGGCAACATTCATCTCTGGAGGCGGGGTCTAAAGCTCCTGTTGGACCTGTATGTTTCTGTGGATCAGATTGAAGTTTGTTGGGATCTTTTGGATCTGCAGCAGCAGAAATTCGTCCTCATGTCTGTATCGGGTGTCTGCGCAGAGACACGTCCCCTCACTGATCAGGAACTAAAAACCGGTTTGTCTCCCAAAAGTAAGGAGATCTTCTCTGCAGCCGCTGACACAGCAGATCCTCTCTGGGCTGATCATCATAAATCAGTCATCATGTCATCAGAGATGTCTCATTTTTATTCCTCAACAATACTGCATCATATGTTCAGTTATGGTTATCGTCACAAGACCACCACTTATGTTTCGTCTCGTTTTCGTCATGTGGTAAGGGTTCGTTTATGCCGATATTTCGTCATAATTTTTGTTGACAGAAACAACACTACTCTGAACCTTTGTGTGTTTTTAGATTAGAGCGATAAGATCTGAACACATTTATTTGACCCATGTCCCATCTGTCAACATGGAGGAGGCGGGGCTTCAAACCTTTACTGCAGCTAGTCAGCAGGGGGAGCTCTGCATGTTCTGGATCCCCTCCAGAGAGCTGTTCTGCCCCCTGAAAACCCCTGATGGGTGCTTTAAGAGTGTTTGGTGGTTCCGATGAGGTGGATCTGAGTCAGCTGGTTTTTATACGTTAGTATCTCTGTCCCGTTTCAGCGCCACGCTGCGTGTTTCAGAGTGTCATCACTTTAATGTCGCCGTCAGACGATGTTCCTCAGCGCTGACCTTCTAAAGGAGACCTCCTGAGGATTACACAGAACCAGACTCTGACCTTTCCCTGGTCTCACCTGTCGTGTACCGTGTTCTGACCGTAATACTGCGGCGACACGCACAGGTGAGACTGACCCTCGGTTCCTCCTCCGTCCGTTTTGAGGACATTTGTCATTTTTTCCTCTTTATTCTGAGCCGACAGTTAAAGTTTTAAAGATCGGAAAGAGAAAAAACAGAAAATAAAAACAGTGAAATGTCGTCAAACAGCCTCCATTCAACAGTTGTGGCAGCTGCAGGCTCCCGTACGTCAGTGGCGTGGGCTCAGATTATCTGTAATCTGATATGTCACAGATTAGGACGACATCACACACACTGTTACTTACACTCACACCGTTTACAGAGCTGAAGACCGCCGCTCTCATCTGTAATTCCTCTTCCTGTGGAGGCGGGGCTTAGCCAGGCTGCGCCGGGATCCAACGGAGAAAGGAAGGGAGGCAGGAGAGAGGAGGTTAGGAGAGAGGGAAGGAGATAAGGTCACAGGATCAAAGGACACTCAGTCTCACAGATCTTCTTCTTCTCTTGTTTTAAACATGTTGAGTACTTCCTGCTGTCTCGCTCATGTCAGGAGTTTGTCGAGGACGTACGTCGATGTGATCAGATATGAAACATAAACTGTTTTCAGTTCTTCAGCAGATCAGGCTGTTAGAGTTGGTTTAACAGGAAGTCTTATTTTGAAAGGCACATGTAAGAGAGGACAAGTCCAGAAACTTCCAGGACCAGCATGTCTGAAATTTGTCCGGAATTTTCTTCTCCTGCCAGCAAATGGTTAATCTGACCGCCGCTGAGCCACGCCCACTGATGCAGGGAATCATGGGAAAGGATGTTGTTGCTGTTGTTGTTGCTCCAGCTTTTGATGTTTGTTGTTGTTGTTTTAGTTGTTAAAGTTGTTGTTTTTGTGGTTGTTGTTGTTTTAGTTGTTGTCATTTACTGTTGTGGTTAATTTTGTTTCTGTTGTTGATGTTGTAGTTATTTTTTTTTTACTGTTGTTGTTGCTCTAGTTATTGCTGTTGTTCTTTTCTGTTGTTGTTACTGTAGTTTTTGTTGTTGTTTGAGTTGTCTTTGTTGTCGTTGTTGTTGGTGTTGTGTTGTTGACTCTTTAGTTATTGCTGTTGCTGTTGTTGTTGTTTTAGTTGATTTAGTTGTTGTTTACTGTTGCTGTTGTTGTTGTTGTTGTTGTTGTCGTTGGTGTTGGTCTGCCCAACAGCATCAGCACTCACACACACCTCCACTCATACAAACACACACTTCTCTACATGCCACAGTAGATACAGTCAAAAGTTGTGTGTGTCTGTGTGTGTCTGTGTGTGTGTGTGTGTGTGTGTGTGTTGATTGACAGCTCCTTTAGCAGCTCTGACACAAAGCGGGGGGGTAACTGAAGGTGACAGGTAGCAGATGTGAGGGCGCCGCGCACAGACACACACACACACACACACACAGACTGCAGGGGCTGATGGGTATTCTGGCGGCGTCTCTCTGTATAATGAGTTCACCATTTTGTGTTCCTGTCTGAAGGTTGTCTCAGATATTAAAGTCCTCATAATGGACTCAAAGTCTCCCATAATGCATTGTGAAGAGCGGCGTCCTCTCAGGTCGGTTGATTGGACCAAACTGAAATCAGGAGGATCGTTCGGTCTCCTGGAGCTGAGTCATGGTCCTCAGAGAGACGCAGGAGACACAGGTGGGCCGACAAAGACCCCCTAAGACCAGCGACCTGGTCCTGAAGGTCCAATCTTCTCCAAGCTTTGGACTTTGTTCTGACCTTTGACCCGCTGTTAGGGCTGATGTCATAGACTGGACTTGACCAAAAGGCATCAGATATAATCTACAGGAAACTGAAGAAGAAGAAGAAGAAGAAGAAGAAGACGAAGAAGGAGGAGGAGGGGTGGAGGTGAGGAGAGCGGCGGTGAAGATAAGGAGGAGACTGTTTGGGTCTCGAACATCGCTCCAAGTCTGGATCCTGAGTCTATGTGTGTGTGTGTGTGTGTGTTGATGTGTGTGTGTGTGTGTGTGTGTGTGTGTGTGAGTGTGTGTGTGTGTGTGTGTTGATGTGTGTGTGTGTGTGTGTGTGTGTAGATGTGTGTTACAAAGCCTTCACACGTCACTGTCACACACAGAATCACACTAAAGATCACCTACAGGCTCCTACTCCTGTGCGTGTGTGTCTGTGTGTGTGTCTGTGTGTGTGTCTGTGTGTGTGTCTGTGTGTGTGTCTGTGTGTGTGTGTGTGTGTGTGTGTGTGTGTGTGTGTGTGTGTGTGTGTGTGTGTGTGTGTGTGTGTGTGTGTGTGTGTGTGTGTGTGTCTGTGTGTGTGTGTGTGTGTGTGTGTACTTTCCTGCCTATCCAAGAGGGGAATTTGGCGTCCTAACACTTCCACCAACAGGGGACATTATTTTCGGTCCCCACTCTGAGTCAGTCTGGGCTTAAGTCCCCTGTTTGTCAGGTAGGCGTGTATGTGTGTGTGTGTGCCTGATCCCTCGTTTCCTTCTTTGGGTTAATTTTTAATAGATTCCTGATCTCAGGTGTTTTTTTTTTTTCTCGCTGTCAGACAGGAAGCCGCCATCACCCCCCCCCCCCCAGTGTGTTAGCGTGTTTATGGAGCCATTAGCTGTTGGTTTACTGTGTTAATAAGTGTTAATGTTTGCTAATGAGGACGGAGCGCTGCAGATTACTGCGAGCGCTGTCGGCCCGCCTCCTGTTTCCTGCCGTCCAGGAGGAGGAGGAGAAGGAGATGAGGAAAGGAAATAAGGAGGAGGAGGAGGAGAGGACTCTGACTCCGAGTGTGCGGGGTTCAGAGACAGATGGAGAGAGTCGGAGTCTCCTGAGTGTTGAGTCAGCCCTCATGCTCTTCATGCTGCAGACACACAAACAGGTCTAATGTGGACTGAAGCTCCGGTTCTGCTGCCGTCAGCTCGTCACGCGTCACATGATTTATTCAGAGCGAGCTCCTAAAAGCCGAACACCTTCCTCCCGCCGCTCCACTCTCAGCAGCTGGTGTCACTCCTCCTCCTCCTCCTCCTCCTCCTCCTCCTCCTCCTCCTCGTTTGGTTCAGCTCTCTCTGAGGCGCAGTGACAGCTCAGTCTGTGATTGGTCCAAAAATCTCTGCTAACAGGGACAGAAGGGGGTCCGGATACCCCGTCAACGAAGAACTGGACCACCGTGACCCGGATGAAGGAGAACCCACACATGAGTCCAGGTCTTGGTGGTCCAGGATTTCCAAAACCCTCATCAGTGATGACCTGCCGGTGGTTTTTGGAGTCAGTGCGGTTATTTCCACTCTAGAGTCCTTTTTCCTTGTTTCCTTGTTTCCTTGACTCCTTCCTGTCCTCTATCTTTGACACCCAACACTCCAGATTCCCTACTCCTCTCCTTCCTTGTCTCCTTCCTTGTTTCCTTCTCTTGTTCCCTCCTCTTCTTCTCCTCTTCCTCGCCTCCTCCTCTCTCAGTATTTACCCCCCCCTTCCTCAGCGGTCCGGTCTGGTCCGGTCCGGTCAGGCCTGGCGTTCTCTGAATAAACCCAAACAGACGTTCT